GGCTGAAGTGGAGTTTGCTGTGCTGAAACGACTGTACGAGTAGCATAGGTCTGAGTGCCACATCATGCCCGTGTCCTGTAGTGGGGCCCAGAAGGAGGCCATGGTAACCTGCTCCGACATCGGCTTCAACTGCTAGTTCAACTGCTCAAGCGTGGAGACACGCATAGACACGCCACTGAGGCTGATTCCAACATGCTGAAAATGGTAGCATTGAGGCCGAACTTTTCCAGATAGATGTCTTTTGCAGGTCCAACAACTGCCATCCTGAGGCTGGCGTCATCCGCACTTCCAGAAGATGTGGAAAAATGTTGGGCAAGTTTGCCAAAGAAAAAACAAGCCATCACTTGCCAACTTCCCACATCTGGAGATGACAAGATATGACAAAGCCAGTACGTAGCCTGCTGTTCGAGGAGCATTCCGAAAGGACTGAAGAGAGCCAGCGCAAATCGCGTTCTGCCGAACCAGGAATGGCCAGAAGGGCCCCTGACGTGTGTTGATGCCATTTAAACGGGCTATTTTTCAGTGCCGGCGGCTTCTGACTTGCTGGGCCTGGGCTGAAACGCCAAGGAGTGGAGCTGAAGCCAACAGGGGCCGCATGATGGCTCCTGGCCGGAAATCAGGGCACCTTGGACTACTGGAGGCACTACCAGCTGCGAGGGCAGAATCCTGCGTCGTCTTTGGCTGGGTCCCTTTTGTGTTGCTGTGGTTTTTCCTTAGGTTTAATGAGAAAGCTTCTGTTTTCCAACCTTCTTTTCGTTACTTTCAAAATGTTGTCTTCCTTTCCTTCCTTCCTTTCCTTCCTTCCTGCCGTCCTTCTTTCCTCCCTTCCTCCCTTCCCGATTTCTTCCGATTCCTTCCTCGATTCCTTCCTCGATTCCTTCCTCGCTTCCTCCCTCGCTTCCTCCCTCGCTTCCTCCCTCGCTTCCTCCCTCCCTTCCTCCCTGCCTCCCTCCCTCCCTCCCTTCCTCGCTTCCTCCCTCGCTTCCTCCCTCGCTTCCTCCCTCGCTTCCTCCCTCGCTTCCGCTTCCCTCGCTCCTCTCCTTCCTCCCTTCCTCCCTTCCGCCCTTCCTCCCTTCCTCCCTTCCTCCCTTCCTCCCTTCCCTCCCTCCCTCCCTCCCTCCTCCTCCCTTCCTCCTCCCTTCCTCCCCTTCCCTCCCTTCCCTCCCTTCCTCCCTCCCTCCCTTCCTCCCTTCCTCCCTTCCTCCCTTCCTCCCTTCCTCCCTTCCTCCCTTCCCCTCCCTTCCTCCCTTCCGCCCTTCCTCCCTTCCTCCCTTCCTCCCTTCCTCCCTTCCTCCCTTCCTCCCTTCCTCCCTTCCTCCCTTCCTCCCTTCCTCCCTTCCTCCTCCCTTCCTCCCTTCCCCTTCCTCCCTTCCTCCCGTCCTCCTCCCTTCCCCCTTCCTCCCTCCCTCCCTCCCTCCCTCCCTCCCTCCCTCCCTCCTTCCCTCCTTCCTTCCTTCCCTCCTTCCCTCCTTCCTTCCCTCCTTCCTCCCCTCCTTCCTCCCCTCCTTCCTTCCCTCCTTCCTTCCCAACTTCCTCCCCTCCTTCCTTCCCTCCTTCCTCTCCCCTCCTTCCTTCCCTCCTTCCTTTCCTCCCCTTCTTCCTTCCCTCCTTCCTTCCCTCCTTCCCTCCCTCTCCCTGCTTCCCTCCCTATCTCTGCTTCCCTCCCTCCTTCCTCGACCCCTTCCCCTCCCAATTCCTTCCTCGATTCCTTCCTTTCTTTGCTTCGGAGGTTTTCCTCTTAGAACGTGGAGAAAGCTGAGGCTTACGTCTAAGACTCCAAGATACACATGCTTACAACATGGACACGTGCTTTCCTACGACAACCAGACGAAGCTAACCCTCGTCACCGGTCCACCCCCCCTACTCAAAAAAAAACCAACCTTTAATGGCAATCAGAATGCCTCGCTGAGCCCAGCAGTTGCGGATTTTGCCATTGCTCGCTCAGAGGCAATGACTACAACATTATCAGAAGGTGCAATGCTCATCCATGCCTCCATCAGCTCCAACGCTGCTTCCAGCACAGGCATTGTCACTCGTGCTGACTCCCCCTCCCATGTCCTACGCCCGTCTTCTATGCACACCCATTCGCTGGAACCATACGGGACAGCAACATGTTTGTTTCAAGATATCGCATCGCGTTGTATCGCAATGCATCGCAGTCCCTCTCAGACTGAGACGTTATCTTCACCGCTGCGTGCCTTGCAAGCAACGGGATCCTTTAAGGGATACTTCGAGCATCTTGCCCTCAATGATTCTCACATTCAGGCACTCTCTCAGCAAGCGGCTGCTCCCCCTATGAGAGTCAGCATCAGCCTGGCCACCAACAGCATCAGAGGCTGGAACAAGTCGAACACAAGTCAACACATCCTAATCAGAACGTACAGAACTTAACAGATCCATCCTTCACTGATATTGCAACACATGCTGCAACCGTGATGGCAGCAAAAGTGTCTGGAAGACGCCAACTTTGGAACAGGCAGTCCCGATAGCCATGGCGCTGCAGCACTCACCAGTGCCGCACGACCACACCACTGATCGGACATGTCTGTCCAATAGCGATGGAAACTTTCCTGCAAGGGATCTGGGTTCAAGGGTACGCGGTCTGGCAACTGAGGCTGCTCTACACACAACCTCACATAAGCGTCAGATGCAGTCAGTCCCGCATCTCTGCAAGCTTGCTGGTCACCCCCTCGGACGAGTCTCGGGAGATGCGCTCCACATTGACAGCCTCAATAAAGAGTTCCACCTCAATTCGCTTACCCTGGAAGGTCGGGTGCCAGCGCTGGTACACAATGCCTTCCACTGTCACAGAGTCCCCAGGCTGGGCGACTCCAACCATGTCTCCAAAGACCGTAACGGCACAGGACTGCGGGACAACTCCCACTTCAAGAGCCTGCATGTCATCTTGTACACGAATCTCTTGAAAATCTGACATGCAGTCTTCACTCGCTGGAAGAGCCGTGAACAGCTTCGAATGACAGCGCGACGTCTTGGGACGCTTTGCTTTGGCATCCCACTTCGTCTGCTTCTGTGCGCTCTGACATTCTCGAGGTACTTCAAAATCATAGCCGCACGTTGGGGAAGCGCGACAGCCGAAGCCGTGACCGCACTGCCTGGCCAAACAAAAATGGAAAGAAAAAAAAGTACATAAATGTTAAGGCGCCGAGGCGCCGCTGCGAAGACAGCATGGCGACAGCATGGATTCATGTGGCTTCAGGCTTCAGGCCAGGCAGCTCGCAGCGGAAGTTGCGCCACTCTTGAACTACCTGCCAAAAGGATGTGAGATGTGAGATACGACGTATTCCTGAGTGTATCAACACTAAGGGGGACCAACCTGAACGCTAAGATGGCCTAGATCGGCTGGTACGCGCGGCGCGCACGGGCAGTGCGCGGTACGGCAGGCCATGGGTTTTTCAGTTTCCTTTTTTCGAAGCCTGCTGGCAATATACGACAATCGCGCACTCTCACCTAGGCATGGCCACGCTCACCGTCTTTATCGTCTTTCGAAACTTCTTGATTTCTGGGGCGCTACATGTAAAACTGTCATTGTTTTGAGGACGTCTGGGATCAAGAAAAGTGCGCAGTTGTCATCACGTTTGCACGTGTTGGCTCTCGAAATGAAAAACTGTCGTCGCTTTTGGACGCCTGGTCTTGCGAAATGCGAAACTGCCACCGCTGTTGGATTTCCTGACTCAGGTCATCCGGCTGTAGCCTGTCTTTAGCCTGCCGGCTGTAAGTCACAGTCGACCGACTCTATTTTGGACGTGCGCTTGGACCATTAAATTGGCGTCTTCACAGGGTCTTCGTTCGTGTCCCCATGGTCTTTCACAGATTGGGGTCTAGGCTGGTGGCAGAACGAGGTGGTCTGGGCCCTCTGAAAGGTACAGATACAGTATGCGCGGTCGTCGGAGCACGTGACGAAGGCTTGCCTCGCTACCCCCCACCACAGGCAAGCTGAGGACAGGGGAGGGCCATGCGGGAATATTGTTATCGCTTTGCCCCGTCGCCCCGCCTTGACAGGCCCAGCCCGTGTCACGGTGCCCAGGATTCGAACCAGCTGGCCCTCGTCTGCCACTCGCAATTGTGACACTGACTGCCTGGCAAACTCTCGTCCAGGCCTCAGAGTTTGCGTGCACCCAGATCACCGGCAAAGCTTGCACATTGGTTTACCTACCGCATGATAGAAACAGCGCACGGAACGAAATTATCTTAATCGATACTCCAAAACCCTTACAGAGCGGATGAGGGACACATGCACCAGTCGTGCACGGAGCAGAGATGGTTGCATCGATTCGTCCGTCAGAACTGTCGCTGCCTGCTTCACCGCATCATTTACAGCACCGATCAGGTTGGACCATCCCAGCTTGAGAAGACGATAAGAAGCTGGAACTTGCTCGAAGAGATCCAGCGATTCTACCACCAGCTCTCTTGCTCTCCGAGAGGCTCGCAGTGGTTCCTTCTCAGTCTTATCAGTGCGCGTCAAAAGGTCCACCAGTTGGCGCGCTCGATCACCCGAAGTGAAGAACTGCACAAGCTCAATCGAAAGCCTATCTTCCGAATCTTGAGCTTCAGATGCTTCAGGTCTCATTGGCACCAGCAAGCCATCTTGACCCATGACTCTTTGGACGCAGTGGTCCAAGGCCTTAGGACCTGTGTCCTATGAGTCGCCGAGGAACCATGGCGCCAGCATGTTGCCCCTCTTGCTGTTGACAACAAATACGTCTGCTAGTGATACGTCCGAAACTACAACTATGTGGCTTTTCTTGAGTCGCCATGGAACAAAGCACAAGGCCGTCGAGCTCACTCAGGTATATTTCGGACTCTTGACTCTGGGCTCTCAGTGGTCCCTGCGCACGCAGCATGTTCACAGAACAGAGACGAAACACCACAAGTACAAGTGCCGATCTTGCACTTGCCAGAGTAAAAGACACTCACCACATGCAACCCGAAGTTAAGGGCATTGATGGTAGAATCCGCAAGAGCCATTCGAAAAGGCGCACTTCATCGAGGTGCCGTTGTTCTTGGCGTAGGTCTGCAGCTGCGACCTGAAGCTAAGGGAAAACAGATGCAAGCAACTCTCATGAATTCCCTGTGCTCTGAAGCGACAGAAGTGCCAAAGCACAACATCGTGGGCAAAGCTCAACGTGTAGCGACGTGTCAGGCACTGTGCAACCTACCTTCCGGTTCTTCAGAGGGGGGGCGGGGGGGGGTTGCTGTTTCGGGTCCCCGCCCCGGCCGCCCCCCCTCAAGCAATTTCTCTCACAGCCCACCCACCCACTGGCACAGCACCCACCACCCACTACCTCCCACCCACCCCCACCACCGCTCCCCCCGCAGCAAACCCCCCCACCGTTTAAGCCGTGCAAGCTTGCGTTAGCCCACCATGCGAGCATTGCGTTTGCAATTTGGGAGGGGGGGGGGGGAGGGAACCCGTTTTTTTAGCCGTGCAAGTTTGCTTCAAATTCAATCATATGAGTCTTTTTTGAAATCCATCATGCGCCCCCTCCAGCTCCCACTCTTACTAAGCCGTGCAATGTTTGCTTCAAAGCATATGAACCTTTCTCCTGCCCATCATGCGAGCATTGATGGTGTTTGCAAACGAGAAGAGTGTTGTGTTTGCAAAAAGAGGTTTTGGTTGAGGTTGAAGGGTTGAGGGTTGGGGTTGAAAGCTTGGGATCCATCGGGCCTGCGTCTAGTGGCCGACTGTTTGGAAAACCCAGGCCCGTGCAAATTTTGCTAGCCCCTGTTTTCCAGCCCGAACGCGCAAAAGCCATGCTTGTTGGCGGGGTGCTAACCCCAAAATGCACCAGCACCGCTCTCCCCGCTCGCCTAATTTCTATTTTCTCTCTCCCCAATCGCGGGATGGGGGTTTGGGTCGAGGGTTTGCAGGGGGAGGAACAGGAATTAGGTTAACCTCGGCGTTTCAACCAGCAAATCTTAACGCCCTAATTGCGAACCGCATCAACCGCACAGCCCAAGACTTCTAAACACCTGAACCCTACCATCCACTCCCCCCTAAACAGAGGGCCCGAACATCCTGCCCGAGTCCACATTCCCCTTCACGTTCCCTTCATTTTGCTTGAATCGCGGCTGCAAACAACGCTTTATTTCTGGAGGTCGTGGTTTGAGGCCCAAGGCCTGTCACTGTCCGGCCACTGGCTAGCCCACCGAACCCACGACCCCCATAAAGTCCTCTTCGAGGGTCAAGCATTTTAAAGGCCTAGGCTTAGAGGCCTCTGTCCAGCAGATCTAGGCCACAGCTGGATTTGAACAAAGAAACTCTCACGACACCAGTTCTTATTTCATCGCAGCTCTGGCTGACTAGGCCAGTTTTTGGCTTGTGCAATTCTGCACGGATCCTCAAAAGCTGCAAGCAGGCTTCTTGGAAGCCTCCAGAATATCAACATGCCTATATGTGCTGGCTTTGCCGAAAATCCTCTGCTGGCTCTTAAATAATCTGACTCTGCATCTCGCACTCTGCGGCGAGTAGGAACGTGCACGGTCGTACTGCCTGGTAGTGTTTGTTAGATGGAGGTGCTTTGCCCCTAATTACTGTATAAATTGAAAGCATTCGCAAGCACTGCCAGGCGCTAACAGAAGGCTTGGAGAAACCAAGCTGACGGATGAAAATCAGCTCGGCAAATAGGGAGCTGTCACTGTTAAGCACGGCTTGCACGTTGAGCTTGGTAAAAACAGCAGCACCTCCCTAAACTCAGAAGCCTTTTTTGAGGGGAAGCTTCAGGCGGCCATGTGTGGATGTCAAAGGGCCCGTGGCTCAGGAAGCATGTCTACGCCCAAACAAGTGAACATATTCTGTGATTCTTATGCGAGGAACCACGGCCGGCTTGAAGGTGCTTAGAGACCAGACGACTTTGCCGTCAGCCTCACCTGCCTAGAACATGGACAGCGCCTTACCTACGGCGTTACCATGATCAAGCCAAGGATGTTCAAGCGCTTCCTCGGCGGAGGGTCGATCTTCAGGGTCGAGACTCATGAGCTGCTTGCCTCAGCACTTGCTTCGACTTATTTCGACGTGCTCCGAGCAGACTGCGGCAACACACTGCTGGAACATCCCGAGGAGCAAAAATCAGCGGCCAAGCCGTTCTCACTGAAGTCCTTCTCCCAGTTAAGGTCTGCCTGAAACAGTTGACACCCGAGCAACCCAGCAAACATGGTAAACCACGGACTAGAGCGATTGTTGATCAAATGCCCGACCAACGGATCGAATAACCGTCAACAATCAATGCGTTTCAAAACGCCTGCCGCAGTTTGTCTGCAATCTCATGCATTTTGGGAGATCCCACCTGCGAAGTGCAGTTTGCTCAGACTCAATATTTTGCTATGGGCAATGCACCGCATCATGTCACCAAAGTCTCTGACATAGTTCTCGCCGGGCTTGTCATCAAATACCTTGTGCCTCATCTCCCAGAAACTTGCCATGCTGTTCCAACATAGATGCAAGAGTGACAGCGGCTGCAGCTTGGCGGTTGACACTAGTTCGCACATGTTCGCACATGTTCGCACCAAGCCGCTGGAATGGGAACTTTCTGCTTACCAATATATACCTCTGGCACTGATCTGGCATTGAGGAATTGAGGGACTCTGAGGACTGGGAAGGCCGGTGGAATCGACGAGAGCACAAACGATACAAAAGGGGGCGCTAAACCCGGAACTTCACAAACCGCTTCGGCCCCTTTCGATCTCAGAAGATAAAGTGAGCTCTGCCTGAAATCGAAAGCTTGACGTGCAGGCAAGGCACGCAATAACTCCAACTGCGAACATGTCAGAGGATTTCGAGTAGTCACCCTCCTCAGTGCTAGAACAGGTAGCATACAACTGTTGGAAGCCGTTATGGTAGGAAAACCAGATCTGCTTGGAGGCGTAGGCTTCGGGTGCGATGTACTGGTCCGTGCCCACCTGAAAAGAAAGGACGAAGAAAGGGCGCCTGGCCAGCATAGGCAAACTGAGCCCGGTGCGATGGTCACCTTGCGTCCCCCCCTTGGTCGGCGCTGCGCATGATTCTGAAAAATTCTGTGACGGACAGCGTCTGGCAGCTGCTACCCAGTAGGTGGCCAAGCAACGGTTTCTCAATAGCTGCATCCGGCGTCTGGATCGTATCGAAGTCAATTATTTTGATCTTGGCGCATCTGCTTGAGAACAACTCACGTGCTTTGCTGCCATCAGCTCGAAGATCAAAAGTCATATTTAGCTCCCAGCAAGAATATCACCTCTTCTCACACGCGACAGCATCACGTTCTCCAGTTTGATGTCCCTGCGACAATCAATGCATGCCTACAGCTGCTCAGCCAGAGTGCATGACATGTGAGGCCACCTGTGTATACAGATCTTGTGCAGATCACGAAGTCCAGAAAGAAGCTGACGAAGGACTTCCTGCACGCTTCTCATCACATGTGTATGCACATGCGTTGTCTGCTTGATGCATCTCCTTGTTCTCACCGTTTGGCTGACGCACTCTTGCCCTCGAAAAAAACTGCCCCACCTTGACGTCATCCTCGGAGAGCATCTCTTTTCCTGTCAGCACCTTACAGCACTCCGACCAGGCAAGCAAATGTACACTAAGCTCAAAAGTCAGTTCAGAGGAATTTTAAACAGAAGGTTTAACAACCTGTCACTTACGACGAGTTCGGTCTTTGCTTCGAGAAGTATCGGGCCTCGTAGAGGTCCTGGCCCGTCACCCGTTCCATGCTTACCTTGGACGCCCCTGTTCTTTACAGCATGCTAAGCGAACAGAATGCACAGGTTGGCCTGTGAATACTCACATGCCCAAGTGGCATAATAAGCGAGCTTGTCCTCATAAACTTGCAAGATGTTGCAAAGGAATCTACTCCTTTTCAGCTGCAACATAACTTCAGCATTCCGTCTCCAGAGTTTCCTTAGTCAGCAGCCAAATGTGAGCAGGTTGAAGTTGGCACAAGATTGCAAAGTGGATGAAAACAAAACTGTGCCACGTACAAAGTTGCATCATGCACCTCTCTGTCAAATGGCAGACCTCTCTACCTCCCGAGAGTCTCTTCACCACTGAGAGCAAAGAACGTCTTTTGAATAACCTCAGGTTCTCGCAAATTTGCACATTAAACTTGCTCACGCAGTGCAAGCGTGCTCATGCCCCGCATGACAAGAGGCTTTCACAACCAGCGGGTCATTGTTGTCAACCTCATGCTGCAATGACCCCCTGCTTGCACTTTCACACGTCACAGCAAGCTCTTCTTGGCTTTGAACCCTTCTTGCGTATAATACCTGCCAAGCACTGCAGCAAAAAGTCGCCATCACGGAGTTCTAGCTGCACCCATTTGCACACTGCGCTTCAGCGCCTTGACGTGCTCGTTGGACGGAGGCTGGACTTGTTGCTTGAGAACCTGGGCATAAAATCGACGCACACGCATGCAATTCTCTCTGCGCTCTTAACGTAGCAGGCCGACGTGGAAAACATCCGATAAAATTGTTTCGGACTTAGCTGTTGCCATGTTGCTATACCTTCAAGGGTGCTGCACAGCTGCCTAGACAGCACGACGACAGCAGTGATCCAAAATAGTAAAACGTGCAGGTGATGCATAGCGGTAGTATGCAATAGAAGTCGCAAACATCAAAGTAACAAGCGTGACCGGTGTTGACACACACCCAACACAAAACTCAACGGGCTTGGTCCTTTTGATGGGCTCGAAAAAAGCAGAAAAAGCATATTGGCGCTATCTGCACGGCGCATCACTCTCAAAGAGCGCAGCAGTGTATGTTGATGTACAGAAGTCTCGGGGGTGCACCGCAAGTTCAAGTCGCTCTGCAGACAGTTATCCGATTGGCTGAGTTGCGAACATTGAAATATCCCACGGTCCAGTCGTGAAAAACCGAAAACACACGCGATTAGCAGAAGGATCTGCACGTGTCTAATACAATCGAGCGCAACCCAAAAAAACAAGCGAGCTCACATGACAGAACGATGGGAACGTTCAGAGGCGAATCTCACCCACAGCAAAACGCTGACGTTACGCTATCAACGTGTTTGCTGCGGTCTCCACATGAAAACCCGTCTGCATACATTACCTATGCGACGATTATCTTGACGGAGGCCCTGGTGTGGGATCTGCATCTGGCTTCTGATGGAGGAAGCAGGGCAAACCTTGGGGATCTAATGACTTACTCCTCCATTATGCTAGCTAACGATGCACCGATTCTTCATACGAAACACGCATTGTTGAGTTTCAGGAAGCTGCCTGGCCATTGCAACGATGTCAGCACGACTGAAAACTGTAAGTCGTACCAACTTATCACAGAGACGATAAGAGAGGACCTTGCCCGCGAGCCACCGAGCTCCTACCACTCCAGAACCCCTGCAGGATTCGAGGAGGAGCGAGGCAACCTGCGAGATATTCGCCGAGGAGATGGTGGAAAGGGCCGCCGAGATGTGCCAGATGAGTGGGAGACACCCCCCTAGGGACCATAGAGCCCTGAGGTCCCAGAAGCAGACAAACGACCGCCGAGGGCAACAGTGAACAGTGGAGCTGTCCCAGGCAATGGCTCCCGCCATCTGGACTCACCGAGACGAGGGTTGGAAGGCTGACCTTCCAGGCGCTCGTCCTGTTGGGTGCAAATGTGGCGCTGCCAAGCTAGCCCCTGTCTGACTCTGCCGTACCAATCGCGCATCCCAAACGATCCCGATGAAAGAAAATGGGCACGCCTATGTTGCAGATGAAAACGATGATGAAACTCGCAGCTGTTGAGCTTGATCGCTCTTTCACGGCTTCGCCCGGGCATAGGTTACTTGTAGTGGACGCACTGAAGGCTACAAGGCATCCATAAGATGCTGAGGCACAAAGATCTCATCAATGTTTGCAACTTTTTGTATACCGGTGCTCTCGTGAAGGAAAGATCCGGCCATGTTGACCTCCAAGCTGGGATTTTCATGTGAGCTCAGTTGTGCAAGACTTGAAATTCTGCTTGGCTCTCTGACATCTCTAACAAGAAAGCAGGGTGCCAGCAAGGCACGCAGATCTTTGTCAACTCTTTTGCGCTTCCCCTCAATCCAGATGACATCGTAGGCGCCATTAAGTCCGGATGCGAGAGCTCCGCCTCCTCGATCTTGTCAAGCAGGGGCATCCTCACACGCTCGTGGCATTGCCTGTGAGTGTATGTTTCTGGATGCTATGGTTTGCGATTTGGCGTGACTTATATGCCTGTTGCGCTCCAAGTCCTGTTTGGTAGCATCTCTTCCGGCACCTGGGACGTGGGAAAGGACTTGGCTGAGCCAAGCTGGAGACTTTGCGACGAACATCAGTGAACTGAGGTGCACTTCCTGTGCGAGTTGGAAGTCTTGAACTATCTTGAATCTGAACCGTCCTGCTGGCAGGTGGCTTGCGGGTCCATAGCACCCGGAGACGCCGGTGTTCTGAGACAGAGCATGTGCTCCAAATGACTCCACCATGGCATCAACAGCGTACAGTAGGAATTCAGCAAAAGTCTATGCGTCAAAGTTGCCCAGAGTCGCCAGATTTTCGGCTAGATCTGGAGGTGAAGTTCGCCCTGCGCGGAATGGGCTAACCTTGCCTGCTGGACCCCACAACTCTCAAACCTGGAAACCGCGGCATGCCTTTGCCCAACTGCACTCGGTAATGTCACTATTGGGAGAAAGCTGTGGTACTCAGCAATGAAAATACAAAAAGCACAAAGCAACCGGTAATATTGAACCTCTAACTTTTTGGTTGATCCACATCAGACGCAAGCGCCCCAGGATCACGCCCAGCCTCAGAAAAGCCTTAGCTACAAGATGCTGCGTGGTTACTCAGGCGCATCATTCATCTGTGGTCATCCGTGTTGTCATCCGTATTCAACCGTGTTCATGTGCGCTGTCCGCCCAGCAGCCCGCGGTCGGAGCAGCAGGGCGCGGGAGGAGCGACGATGCGGGGATGTGTGGCTAGGCGATTCGGGCCTCTGCTCCCGGATGCCCTCTGTCTCCTTTATCATGCCCAGCGACATTCGCCTGCCAATGCCACAAAACTGCGACCCTTCCATACAGTCTGCATATGTCTGCATAGTCTGCGCATCGGCAGATGCCAACAAACTTGCGCATTGCATTGCAACCGGCCTGCTCAGCCATTTGAGCGCCATGGCCTCACATTCCTAGATCCCTCTAATATCTGGGCCAAAATTGCCGCAGCTCTGCAGTCGCAGGCCTCGCTCAAGCCACCACGTACTACATTCCGTTCTTATATGCTGAGTTGCCGCTTGTCCGCTCTTCACTGCGCCGTTCAGGAAACTCTGGGACGCCCGGCGACGTGGGAAACTTGCGATGTTGAATCAAAAAGCCCCGCACGGCGGTGTGCGCTGGATCACCCTGGGCTCGTCAGAGACTTGGACTGGTTTACAGGCAATCCCTGGCCCTCGTCTTGGATCAGCTTGACAGAGAGCAACTGGCCTCCAGCAACACTTCGCAGGCTGGCTTTGATGGCGGCGTTTTCAGCTCAAGTCTGCTGAGGGGCTTCTCCTCTGCGGTCAACTCCTTGTCAATTTTTGCATGTGCAGAGCAACCTTACACCCAAGACCCACTTGGCATGCCTGGCGTTACCCAAGAGTCCTCACCTCAACCCCTACAACCAAAATCCCACCACCAAGTTCCACCAACTCCACCCTTACAAGTATAGGACTAATTACTCGACGGGAATAACCCTAGAGTTGAGTTACAACCCGAAAACGGGCAAAAGCTCTCTCATGGAATGTGTTTAGGAGACGATGCAAACATAGGATACTGTCCACGGGCTAGAAAGACTCAAGCATGATGGCGCATGTGGGGAGTTTGTTCGAAATCCAGTTTCTCTTGCTGAGGTCCTGAAGTCATTCATGCATTTCATAAGCCATCTTTTGCAGTGCTTATTCATCTGATTTTTCATTAAAAGAAAATATTCAAGAAATTAGTAGTAAAAAACATGCTATGAAATACTTAAGTATGTTAAGCCGAAGACATTTACACATTTAAACGAAGAGAAAATAAAGTTAATCATTCGGGATATGTAGCACAGGATTTTGAACAGGTGATACCGAAAGAATGGGAAGTGATAAAAACAACAGATAATAAAGGACATAAGCGACTTGATTATTGTAAAACAGCAGCTATTACACATGGAGCAGTGCAAGAACTAATTAAGGAACATGAAGAACTAACTGATTTAGTTAAAGCAATGAAAAAGGAAATGGCGACGATGACAGGAGGAATAACAAAATTGAAAAACAAAATCCAGGATTGCTAATATTATTATACAATAATATTATGAATCAACTGGTTCTAACGACTTTAAATCTTCTTGGTGTTTGTTGGTTCTTTCGTGTCTTCGTTTGTTTGAAAATGTGTATGTACCACCACGTAAACTGCTACATATACGATTTCGTGTATGTCTTCGTTCTTCAATATCATCATTGTAGTTTTTCTTACATTTTGCTAACATGTCCTTCTGTTTGCTTCCTGCTTCTCTTTCTTGTTGGAATTGACTCTCTCTTTGTTTCATGATGCCAATTATGTTTGTATTCTTTGTATTCCTCAGCAGTCGTAGTAGGTCGTTTTTGATTCAATGATGCTTGAAATTTCTCAATAAAACATCTCTCATCACGTTTTGCTTCTAAAGGGTTTTCACATTGTTTTGTTTCCATTAAAATCATGTCCCAGTTGTTCCTACTACCATTGTTTCTTATGAACTGATACAATGGCATATAGAAGTTTTGATTTCTACCATTTCAACATGTTGATTTATGATACTACTTTCTTTTTGTAAAGTCTGCTGTGTGACCAATATATAAATCTTTGATGTTTAAGTCCTTACTGATGATTTTGTATAAATGAGTGTTGCTATAATCTATTGGATGTTTTGGCATTATCTTACAATATCTAATATGATGACATCTCTTTAAATGTCTTCATCATCTATTTGAAAAACCTTGTCAAACCGGATAAAACACATGTGATTAACATCTTTAGCGTTACGTTCATGCAGAAGAAAGAGTAAGGAGCATCATTTACTGCTTGTTGATGCATGCCATATAACGTTTTTTAATTTACAAGCGCGGAATTCTCGTCAATAAATGCATTAACTTCGTTCATGTTCTTGAGTCTAAGTATAAACAACGCACTGCTATTGAGTCGTATAATCGGTGCTAGGACATTATTTTTTTTGCGTTGATAAAACACATGAAATTGCTGAATGTCGTCCTCTGGTGAACAAGCCATGCAAGATATTGGAGTATCTCACAAATTTTGGGTCCGCACAACAAGTGCACCAATAGAACAGCAATGAAAGCTCACAACAAAGCGCCCCTCAAACATAGGTTCCAAGTGAACCCTAAGGACGCACCCATCACTAAAATCATCAGCAACAATCAAAATACAATGATAAACGCAACAATGACTTAAAAGGATAGTGCCTTTTATATAACATGGAAGGTTCAAAAATCAAACGCTCAAGGTGCCACAGTAAAAAGACAGTTGAAGAATTCGGACACAGCAAGAATAACAAACTATTTGCAAATTGTATTCAATGCAGAGAGAAGAGGAAAGAGTATAATCGTAAATACAAAAAGCCAGACGACAAGCCGTCAGAAATTGTTACTGTGTTTAACCATACACGACAATTATTGCTTAATGATGGACTTCTTGAGAATTATTTTCTGATATTCAGCAAGCAGGATAATAAGGTGATAATTGAAATTCTAATGAACGATGAGGTAAAGGATATCAGCAGTAAGCAACCAGTTCAAACCAGCGAAAACAAGTCGCTCTCTAAACTATATCGGATAATGCCTTCATAAGTATAATATAAACATACTGTATAGGAGGCATTGCACTATGAGTATATTATGGTTACAACCTTTAACGCTACACCTATCGACATCTATGAGAGAACCTTTGCCCACTTTGGGATGATAATGCCACCTTAGGGAATATGGATGGAGAAATTGGATATTCCGATGCTGGTCTTGGTAGTGGGGAAGTAGTGCGGATATATTGGGTGGGGCGTAGGAGGGAGTATAGGAATAATCCTCGTATATGGATGAGGTAGTCGGTTATTCCTATACTGGTATCGGTAATGGGGTAGTAGTGGTGATATAGTTGGTGAAGTGTAGGGGGGAGTATAGGAATCATCCTCTTATATGGATGAGGTAATCGGTTATTCCTAAGTCCCTTTCGGCGAGTGTTGCCGGGTATGTTCTACGAGCGTGAGTGACTAGCCACGGCTTCCGATTCGTTTCTCTGGTTTCAACGACTGTAACTTTGCTGGGATGCCGTTCTGCACTCACAAGGTGCTTCAAATACGTGCAAATAACAGTCAACACTCAGTCAACACTACAGTCAACACTACATGCAACACTACATGCAACACTACCAAAACCCTGGGAAAACCAGCATATTCCACAATTCACTCGTTTTAAAGGAAAAATATAAGCTTTTTTAGCTTCTTAATGTCCAGAACAGCAAAATGCTGGATTTTCCAGCATTTTGGCAAGCGTTGACTGTAGTGTTGACTGTAGTGTTGATTGAGTGTTGATTGAGTGTTGACTGAGTGTTGACTGTCATGTTGCATGCATTTGTTGCTTTTATAGGAAGCACGGTTTTTTCTGGCTTCTCAATGTCCAGAACGGCAAAATGCTAGATTTTCCTTGGCAGTATTGACCCGATTGTAGCGTTGAATGTAAATGGAACGCAGTGACGTGTCCCGAGTCCAAGCACCGTAGAAAAGGATGGGCACGCACTATCAGTTTATGCAAAAACACTTCTGCCCTTCGGTGGACGGACGAAATCGTGCACCACCTGTAAACGATTGAGGCGTCAAGACCCGCACCCCCTGCTTAACATTGGCGGCTACTTGAGCGGTGCAAGGTTTCGACCATTGGAGCAAATCCGGCTGCTGGCTTTTCACAGCCCATGTTAAAAAGGGGGCACGGGGAACACGAAAAAGACGTGTCTGAAAAGTGGTGCAAGATTTTGTCCATCCACAGTATACTGGTATTGGTAATGGGGATGTAGCAGTGATATAGTTGGTGAGGTTTAGGGGGGAGTACAGGAATAATCGTCTAATGGGTTGAGTGGTGGTATTATTACCCATTTGGGCAAGGGTTCTGCTAACTAATGTCTGTCAATAAGCGCCGATGTCACCCCGAGAAATGAAAATTTCCTCTTTGAAGGATAAACTGAGAAAACATCGGAGGGGTGTTGCTGGGGGTCTTGGAGGAAAATTGGCTCCAATGCCTTGCAGAATCTTGCGGGGTCTTTTAAGTCGCTTTGGGGATTGGCACCCGGCAGGCAAACAGGATCAAAAAGGTGCATGAAGGCGCATGCAGCACAAACATGCACATGCTTTTGCTGCCCAACCATGTCCACCTTTGGCCCACTGTAGGTCATTGTAGAGGGTATTGTTGGTATTGTCATGTGTTGCCGCATGTTGCAGAAGCTCATCTGACCATGCAGCTTCAGCTTCCGCCACTCACCAACCCCAACCAAGCAAACCCTGAAGCCCCAGACCAACACTGAAACCTAAAACATCCTGAAATCCTCAGCAGCCTTGGGCATCGACGGCCAGGCCATAACAAGCCCGTCTACCCCACAAATTGTAACATGATGCAACGCAACAGAGCGCCTCCTCCTCCTCCTCTCCCATGTTCCTCCTCCTCCGCCGCCTGCAGCGCAGCATGTGCAGTCCACGTTGACGATGCATGCCCCTCAATAAATCAAAAATCCTTCACAGCTGCAGAAGTTTAGCTGGGTCCTGGCAAAATCATTGTTGCGCAGCACAGCCTGCACAAGAATCTTCTCTGGCCGGAGCTCATTTCGGCACAGAGAAATGCCGGCTGGAGGTTCATGGCTGAACAGATGCCGCTGAGGTGCCCTGTCTATCAAGTTGCGCCAGTGCGCGTCGCTGCACACGAAGCCCAGCCTCAAGACTCATGCTCAGCAAAAGCTCGACCTTGTCGAAACCAGGACATTGTTTCGTGATGCACTTCCCACCTGAGAATGGCTTCGTTCTTCTCCAGCAAATGGCCAAATGCTTCTTCCACCGGCCTATGTGAAGGGCAACCATGCTTGAGCTGAGGCCTGACAAAAATCGCCCCACCTGCCGAAAGAATTGCCAACCTGCTTCTGCTGCGCGACGCGCAACGTTTCGATTTTACTGCCGCGAAGGGGCAAATTCCATTCCAAGCCACTTCAACAAGGGACCACAAGAAACATCAAGGACCAACGGCTGCACAGATTCCTGCTTGGGTTTTCCGAGAGATTGGTGGCCTGAGCTTTCATTCCATTCCCAATGTTTTGGTCACATTGTCGGCAGCTCCAACGCAAGTGAGGTCTTCACCAATTCTTTGACCGCGGCGGAATCCAAACAATTGTTCCTAAGCTGGGCAGTAGCTGTAGCTCGCTGAATTGGCCAAACCAGGACTCCTCTTCACAGCTTGGGCCATCGCTCGAGGTTGAGGTGCAGCAGGGTCTTATTCCTGAGCTTGTGTGGTTTTGGCATTGGGTGTCTAACTCTTCAACGAAATGATACCCTACAGCTACCCTATCTTCGACAGGAAATACGGATACTGCGCCGCAGGCTTCTGTCGTAGGACTCTCTGCGGAATTCTTTGGGGTGGGCACTTCCAGCATTCTGTGAGGGTGGGCACTCGAAGGATACTCGGCGGGACTCTGCAGGCTTCTCTGCGAGTGGGAACGGCCCGGAGACCAGATGGGACAGCAGATGTGGAGGCCAGGAGCAACAGCAGAAACGGCACGCCAGAGAACAGGCCAGCAGACCCTATGGACTCTGAGGAGAAACAAGACAAACAAATAAACACGTAAACGCATCCACAGTAACGACAGCACGACAGCACGAGAGCTCGGCACTTTAACAAACAGCCGCAACATGCCGCAACCCTGAAGCTTAACATCTTAATAACACAAAAGGCAGAAAGCCTCCGGCTTGCTGCAAGGCTTCGTCTTCAAAGACTCTGCAAGCACCATCCCTTCAGCCTGGCACTTGAAGTTTCGCAGCGCTAGTAAGTCGACTTATTCCACTTGCCACGGCTCCTTTTGCAGGTTCGAGTTCACCAGCGACAACTTCTGAATGTGCGTGTTCCGTGCCATCGCCTTCCATGACCAGGATTTCTCCCTGCGCCCATGCAGGCGAATCAATGAACTTCCAAACGCCACACCTTCGCCAGCTTTGGAGCTATTCGCTCCTGACAGTCTTGCAGGCACTCCTCATACAATGGGTTTGGCGAGCCATGAGGTACACTGCTACCTTGCTTTGGCATGCCATAAGACGCTTCCAGACACATGCCAAATTGTTGCAAAGAAAGCAACGTCCACGAATCATCCGATCCGAACTTCAATGAATTCAATGAACTTCAATGAACTTCAATGAACTCCAATTAACCTCCAAGGAACCTCCAAGGAACCTCCCTCAAAAACAAAACAAACATCATCCGTCCAAGCTTAAGGCCTTAGCCGTATGGCCCCTTGCGGGATGGGCACCTCAAGGTCCCCGCGCGGCATGTGGAGGTTGCTGAAGTCAAAGTCTGTGAGGCTGGGATCCTGCATACAGCGCATCTGTCTGTTTGCGCTGTCTTCTGTTACACATTTCACAGCTCTGTACAGTCCCGGCAAAGCCCTCTGTGTCGCTCGCAGCAGCAGAAACGGAAAAACTATTTCACTTCGAACATCCCCACCCTCTTTGAGCAGAGATACTCTGGGGTTGTGCAGTCCAGGAGTCTCTGGGGTTGGGCACTCCAGGGGGAGTCTCTGGGGTTGAGCACCTGGGGTTGAGCACTCCAGGGACGCTCTGGGATTGGGCACTCCAGGGATGAGCGAGGAGTAGACCGGGCGAGGGGAAGAGTTCCAAGTTGAGCTTGAAATCTAACAACCCCACACCGAGGCTGGGGAACAAAGCACTTGACCCCTCACGCAACGTGCGGGTCATCCAAGTGCGCTCGGTGCACCATCCAGATCATCCTCAGGAATCTCTGTCAAGACATCTCAAGACTCTGATCGGAGTTGGGAAACTCTTCTGGACCTGAAAAGCATCGCTATCAGCTCCAAGGCCCGAACCAGTCGCCAAAGGATTTGGCCTCATTAAGGTCAGAGACAGGCTTCCTTTTGACTTTAAAACGTTCCAACACAAACCATGATGCACACTGCCGGTTACCCTACAATGGTTCCGCGCTTTCTGCTGCTCACCTTCTGCCGATTTATGCCACCTCTGGTCTGTCCAACATAAACTTGCCTTGGCCGGCTCTTCGACCATCTCAGAGATGTCTTCAATCGCCTCTTTCCACGAAAGCACTCAGAGGCGCTCTGGCCATGGGGGTCTAGGAACCCAACTCAGACCCCCTCGCCCTTTTCGATTTTGGGCCTGTATGTCTAGATCGAAAACACTGGACGGCTGTTTTGTCCATAGCACACGGAATCCGTCTGCAGGCCTCCTCACACCTCACCCTAATACCCTACTATTCCGGACCGAGGATATTCCATTGTGCAAAACCTCACGACTGTATCGAAGAGGTGCCTCAATCTTCGCGGCAAGTTTCTGGTCAATGCCCGCTGCATCGACAGTCTGAACTTCTTGCACCTGATCCGCTCGAGGGTTGAGTGGGAATCGCACAGACTAGGTGACTAGGTTGGCAGCAAAGTCGCAATGCGAACATTCAAAGCCACATAGGGTTGGGGAAAATTCACGGCCATGGGCGCTCAGAGATTTCGCACGGACCCGCTGCTTCCTCACATAACCCCTACCTTATCCGAAGGACTGCCCCGGGGATCCCTTTTGGAGAGCCCTCTGTCTGCACAGGATGAAGCAACCCGGAACAAGGCAACATGCATCAACATGAGGCGTTGAAGCTAAAGCCCGAACACTCCCCAAACAAAGGACCCTACACTTTCGATTGCGAGGCCGAACTCATTCGACAGAAACTTTCAAGGCGCGCCGCTTACTTGCCGAGCCCTGTGCAGCGCCTTAGCATCGAAACTGAATGATCGGTCTCTATATGTCAAGCTCTTGATGCTCCACTCAACCCGGCGACCCGAAAGTCAAGAAGTCCTGAAACATCATGGAACGAAAAGCCCAGTCAAATAGTCAAGGAGGATGAAAGAGCCCGGTCAGTACTTGTGACTGTGCTTGCAGTGGCCCAGGCGTAAGTCGCGAAACATTGATGAGAGCCTGCAAAGCAATTACAATCTGCAGATGTGAGCAGCATGTGCCTGGAAGGTGAGATCCACAGTTGCACTTCCAGAGGCATTGGAAGCGCTCAACGTGTACCTCCAGCATGTCAAGCCGCCTCAAGAAGCCGTCTCCGAAAAGCTGATCCGCACTGATCGTCGACACACCCCAAGCCCACAGACATGGCTTGAAAATGCTTGAAACCCTTACTGTAGGGAGCACGTAGTCTCGGACGACCTTAGAAAACAATCGTGTCAAAGGCAAGTCAACAATCGGTCTCAATAGAGTCAAAGGCGTGGTTTGAACAAGGCCTCGGCTCTGCCTCAGGCTGGCCGCTGATCACGCCCGTGGAAGCATCCAGTGCCAGGCCCTAAAACGAAAGGGTGATACGCGGTGATATGATGTGATATGCAATAAAAAAAACCACCAGTGTGAGATTGGCTGAATGTTCAAGCCACACGTGCCGTGTCCGTCCATTACTTCTGGCTACGTCTTTACATTTGTGGACCTGCACTGGGACTCTGGGCATGACAGTGTTCAACAACGAGCCAGAACAACGTCGGAGCCTGAGGCAAAGCCGGCTCCACTGTGAACGTGCAGCCTTCAGACCTTTGCGATCTGATCTTGGTCCATCAGAAAGTGGATTTGTAAAGGAAGTGTCTAAGAGCGTGGCCCTTCAAGGTCAGGCTCGATCGACATAAACTCACCCACCGCATACGATGGACTGCCACTGAGACATGTACTTTGAAATCGATCTAGATATAGATAGAGATAAAAACAGGGACACACAGAGACAGACAGAGTCTACTTGCACCACGCATTGAAATCTTCTGTGCAAAGTCTTGACAAATGCAGCTCTTGGCGGTGGCCTGGCCATTGGGTAACTCAAGTTCTTCGGAGCAGGAAGAACCTACCAGTTCTCATGTCAAGAGGCATCTTCTGAGCGACTGGAGGCCCTGGCCACAGCGAACTGCAGCTGCGCCGATGTGTGCCCGTCCTACCAACTGCCAATGTTGTCGACAGAGCGCAAGCGTGCATGGAATGCAGAGGTCCTCCCCGGAAGCGGTGACGATGTATGTCTGTTCGCTGCACTGGGCATTGAACACGCCACCGATTGCCCCTGTCACTCAGGTTGGTCCCATGCAGGACCACAGGCTGCTCACTGTGTGTAATTGGCATTCAGGAAGCTCTCGCATGTTGTGGGGAAGTGCATGGACTTACTATTCAGGCAGCAGACGTGCGCTTTTGCCCAAGTAGATTGGCAGATCCGCAGCCTCGATACGTCTTTAGAATTCGCCTCGGCTTCCTGCCGAGAAGCATTTGGAACAAGCAGACCCGGATCAGGCCAACTCTTCCCCCCATGCCAAATTTTGTGACGGACCCCCCCCCCCCAGAGTTTTTGCCCTTTTTCCCCCGAGAACTCCCTGCCTGGGCCCTTGCTGGGCCCCCCCTGCAACTTTTTCTGGCATGGGACTTGCTTGGACCTGTGGGCCAGAAACCTCTTTCCTCCTTTCCCGTCCTGGGGCCAGCCCGACTGCCGAGACGGCGCGCGCAAGCGTTTATCCGCCGAGGCCTCGGGCCGGAGGTGTCTGGGTTGTCAGAACAGGCACCCCCCTCCAAATCCTCCCACCCAAAGCCACTTTTTCGGACCCCTTTTTTTGCCTCAAATGGGTACCCCCCCGTGAAACCGGGGTCCGCAAGCGGACGGCTCGCCAGGACCAGAGGCAGTTGAAGCCCCTCCCAGCAGGCCCCCCCAACCCCTACCCACCCACCCCCCCCCTCTCACCCCCCTTCCCCCCCGCCCTAACTTCCCCCTTACCCGCCCCCACCCTACCCCTCCCGCTGCTTTTCCTGTGCACGAGCGGGGATGCATTACAAGAGCCGAAGAGTCTAAGCTTGAACCTAAACCTTAAACCTGAACCCTACCCCCCCTGAGGGGCCTGGCTCAACCCTACGATCACTCCAAGCCGAACCCTAAACCCAAAAAACCCTAAACCCCAAAGCGTGAACCTTGAGCCCTAAGCCCTCAATCCTAAACTAACCCTCAACCCTAAACCCCAAACCATAAACCATAAACCCGGAACCCTAAACCCTAAACCCAACCCTTATTGCTTGGGGTCCAGCGACTTGGGCGCTGCGGAATCACCATGCTCACGCGGATGCGCTGGGCCGGGCCGAGGCGGGTCGCGTAGCGTTAAAATTAAGAAAAGTCTTGCCCGACTTGCCCATCCTTGGCTCACTTGACCCTTCCATAGGCGAAGGATACACACACACCCACGCACGCACGCACGCACGCACACCCACGCACACCCACGCACACCCACGCACACCCACGCACACCCACACACGCACACACACCTAATCCGCCGAGGCCGGAGGCCTGAGGCGTTTAGATCCAAGTCTAGGAAGTGTACCCACCCCCTACCCCCTCCCAAGGCGGCACGGTCCGCCAGCCCACCTGGCCGAGTTTTTTTCCTAGGAATGGGGACCCCCCGTAGTCGACCTGTATCCAGTCGCGGCCGACGTGCCCGGATCCTAGGTATAGGGGGCGGATGCGAGAATAGCGTTTTTCGGGCCCACGCCCACCCCTGAGCCCTAGGCCCTAAGCCCCAAGCCCTAAGCCCTAAACCTCAAAAGCAAGCCCTAAGCCCTAAGCCCTAAGCCCTAAGCCCCAAGCCCTAAGCCCTAAGCCCTAAGCCCTAAGCCCTAAGCCCTAAGCCCCAAGCCCTAAGCCCTAAGCCCTAAGCCCTAAGCCCTAAGCCCTGAGCCCCCTGTAGCCAAGCCCTAAGCTTTGAGCTCTCTCAACCCCAAACCCCCCCCTCCCCTCCCGGCCCCCATTTGCACTTGAGCATGTGCATTTGGATGTGCACTTTGTTTTGCATCCAGCGTGCCCTGTTTGCTTGGTAGAGTAATTTTATCGCTAACGCGAGGCCCCCTCGGCAAGGGTACCGAGGCGGCAGGAAGGGGTAGTGGGGGTGAGGGGGGGAAGGCGGCATGCCCGTCGCGCAACAACCGTAGCGGGTTTGGGGGGGCGTGGGGTAAAGCCTCAGGCGGCATGTGTCGGACAGTGTACAGGTTCGGTTTGAGGTGTAAAGTTGAAAGCTTTGGGGGGGCTTCGAGATTTGGCTTCGCGCGGTGTCAGAGGTGGGAGCAATTGTGTTCAAACACATGGCTGAGAATGCGCCTGTAGTCTCGTCCAAGCCGATACCTTCTGGAAGCGCCGGGTCCTTGCCGGCAATGACACAGAGACACCCCCCCAAATCAGAGAGTTTTGCATTGATGGCGCTTCTACCTGGGTGCCCGGCCACAGAGAACGCCCGCACAGCACCCTGAACCTTCCCCCACTCAACAAAGCAGTGGCTTGTTTCTAAACAGTCGACCTGGGCAGCAGCGAGCTCCCTTTTCCAGCGAGATGCGAGCTTGACTCTTGAAATGAAGCCCTGGTTTGAGTGCCAAGTGCATCAAAAACCGGGCTTATGCTACTTGGAGAGGTCAAAGGCCTCATCGGCTTGTGGCAACGATGCGTGGACGACAATGTTTCCACTGTAGCTTCTGTGCTCAGGAGGTCGACATCACGAGCTTGTAATCCAAGCCTCTCCCGTTTGAAACAAGAAACAGTTTGCTGAGGCCCTGCTGAAGACAGTCCATGCCAGCACACTTACGCCACTTGAGGTGAGCAGCTGTGGTTGAGCAACTCCGAGAAGCGACCGATGGTCTGCAAGGACATGAGGACATGTCGTGTAAGTTCTACCAGTTTGAACGACTTGTCAGACCTGGCGGCCGATGTTCTTCTTGACCGTTCCGGGAACCATCTTGCCAATAAACCTGAAAATGCGTCAAATCGCCAGCAAGGACACTCGAGAATGTGATACTGGCAGTCCAAAACATACCGCCACACATCGTTATCTGGACTTGTAAGGAAAGCTGGTACCATCAACAGTTACTGACAGCCCTGACGGAGCAATTTCTCAACACGCCTGCCCAGGGTCATGCTTGGTCTGGCCTGAGCTCCAGGGCAACTCTTTGGGGCACTTGGAGCTGCTGCCTTTTGAGCTTCTGATCAATGCCAGAGGGCGTTGCCATTCCAGTGCTCCGTAGCACGACATTTCTCTCTGCGCCGATCAGTGTGCACAGTGGGCCGCGTGCTTGTGCTCTTGAATACGGGGCCTAGATGCGGGGCCCCTGAATCGCATAAAATGAAGTCTAAGAGCCCGTGGGGCTGGAACCTTCATTACACTGCAACTCCACAACTCTGAGACTTCCAGCAAACAACACAACTTGCCGAGGCGAGTGCCAAGTCCGAGGGTGGCGTCGGCATTCTCAGCACGCAGAAATGCGCAGTGTTCTGCAGCCATACAAAACACACGTACCTGCAAACGGTGCTGCGTGATTGTAATCGCTTCTCCAATTCCGGGTCCAACCCCGAACGTGAGCCGGGGAGAGATCTGCCTCGGCCATCCTGCAGCCGCCCACCCAGCTTCTTCCACCCCCCCGAATCATGCGAGCCCACCTGCTTGCCCACAAAATCCCCGAAGCCATCTCTTGGGCCGAACACCCAACCCCGCCGTGATTAACAGCAAAGGCCGGGCAGGCGGCATCTGGTTTGTCCGATTTTGACAGCATCAAGATCGCCGTTTGAAAAGCAAAACAAGAGCTCTCCAGCATTGCCATCGGCTGGGATGCCTTCGAAGACGCCAGGACGTGTACTTGCAGACTTGCAGTGACGGTTATAGAAAGCCTTTGTGCATGGTGCATCATCGGTGCTGGTGGATCCATTTCAACGATTTTTTGCAGCATTTTGACCAGGTATTTGCCCAGCATGGATGTACACTTCGCACGTTGTACACGAGTCCTTCTCATAACTTTCCGGCGTGAAGTGCGCGCCGAGCTCGCGGCTTAACATCGAAGTCCACCTCAGCCTCGAGCTTCCCTCGGGGCAGTCGACAACTTTTGCCGCTGGTACTGCGGCGCGCACTTGCTTTTGTCATAGGCACTGGCCGCCCGGCCTGCTCGAGTGAGGAACTCGTACACGCCCAAGAAGAAGGCAAAGAATGGTTCATCTACCTCAGACATCACAAGCCAACAAAGAGCTTCTATCACTTTAACCAGCAGCCGGATGGAGGCACCAATGATGACGACGACGATGTATCGACATCGACCGAGGCTCCAACTGCCTCAGCCCAATTGGCCTCAGCTCCGATGCTCCAAGAAGTCTCTGCAGCGAATGCTGCCTGCTTGTTGACCCTGTTGCCAGACGGCTATCATCAATGATATGACGAGAAGCCGCTGGCAGAAAATCGAGTTGATGCATGAGCTGGTAGTTTAGAGCTACCTCAGCCAGAGCACACTCCTAGCAGTGGGCGACAGCTTTTCGCAGAGCCACTCAAAGGCGCTTGCCCAGAACTCTTCTGCTGTCAGGGTGAGAGGCTCGTTGTCGATGACCTTACAGATGGTCTCAAAAAACTTTTCATCCGCCCAACTGTCTGCCCAACTCTCCGTCCAACTCTCCCCCAAAGCCTCTGCGCTAGTGCTGGAAGCGCTGAATTGAGTGTGGCATTGCCGAAACTAAGGTGGCTCTTCCTTGCTGGGCCTGAGCCCAAGGCTCGGTGAAAAGAAATTGATTGCAGCGTCTTGGGCCTGGCACATGATGTCAATATGGGCACGTCCGACGATCGTGTACGGTCATGTCCATCCACCGCATCCACAGCATGCGGTACATGCTGTCCAAGAAGCAAGGTTTCGGCATCGGCCAAGAGCCTGGGGCCCACCGAGTGAAGACAGATGCAAGCCAACAAAAAGAAGGCCTCGGGAAAAGCAGGCGGTCAGAGCCAAAGTGTCCAAGGCACTCATCCATCAAGGGGCCATGATAAAGAAGACGCAGAATGCTTGGAAAGGCCTGCGGACATCTACCAACCAAACTTCGTCATCGCACGGTCAGCATCGCACCTCAATGTGTTTCATCTCCACTTCGTTCACAAGCTCCCTGAGTTTGGGGATCTTCTCCTCAAAAAGGACATGGCACAAACGTCACGAACCACGGACTTAGCGAAGGCAAGGCAAACACAGAAGCTGCGAGCATAAGACAAACGGTAAACACACTGACAAACATTTACGACTCTCACGCTCTCTCGCTCTTTGTGTTGCGATGCTTTGTGAGACCGCTCTTACCGGCTTACCAGGCCTGGCCTTTTCCATCGGAAAGTAGTTTGTTCCCACACCTCCACTCACAAGGGCAGACGACTGAATACTGGCGAGAACAAATACTGGGAAGAGACGACGGAATTCGGAGAAGAGATTCTCCCAGCCCAGTGCGATGCTTAGGTTCTCTGCGAACGCGCCTAGTATGCTGTGCAGGAACATCACTCGCGGCCTCAAGGTATGCAATGTGGAAGTTCGGAGGTCTGCTTCTTGAGGCCATCCCAAGCAGCCCAATCCCGACAGTTCTCTCATCTCCCAACAGACAATGCCCAGGCCCCAGAGCTGAACAACTATGGTCAACTGTACACTTATAAGCTTTTATAACATTTCTAAACTCTTGAAAATACATATATGCGTTTTCGCACAAGCGCATCCCAAGCAAGGATTGCTGTGTTAGAGGACTCTGCGACTTGTTGTTCCTCACCATCACACAGCGCCGAGCTCGAGGCGAATGCCCCTTGAAGTGTGACAAGCTGTACTCGAAGCAGAACCTGCACAGGCTCTTGTAGGCGTGCACAAGTGCCCTGTTCCTGCGCTGTGAAGTGTGGCTCGACAGAGTGATGTTTGAGACACAGAGCCTGAGGTGATCCATGAAGCTGCCGTCCTCAGGCAAGTCTTTCACAGTCTTCCCCATTGTCTCCCATCAGCATCAGCCATGGCCCACAGCCCATAAGGCCCACACGGCATGCTCCATGCAGAAATTACACTCTGTCTGCATGAACCTCAGGTGCTTGAGACCCCATCTAGGCCCTCTTTGGTGCAGTCACTGAGGAACGTGATGCTCTTGCAACGTTGTCAATGGTGCAGCATGCTTCAAGCGCTTGATGGTCCTTTTCAGGCCCAAGCCTAGTGCTCTCACGGTGATGAGGAAGAAATAAGTCAAGCAAACGATGGGAAATCCGCTGCTCTTTCAGTTGGTGCACCGAGAATCGTGGTCTTCCGCACATTTAAGACTTGGGGATCTCGGGAAGCATATTCGTTGCATAACTTCCTCGTTGCTTTTGTACACCTCGATTGCAGGAACCGGCTTGCAGCCGGAAGAGACGAGCAACTGTTTCAAGCGGCCGTGAGCCGGGTCACACACTCGGCAGAATTTCGAAGGAGCGTGCAAGTGCCCCCCCCCACCCTCTCTCATGGTGCAGACTATAATGACCACAGATGCTGGATGAAGCAACGGCATACAAACCAGCAGAATTGCAGAATTGAAACCAAGATGCTCAATGATGGGCGCATCAAACCGGGGTGCTGCAGGCACCTAAAGCGCAAGAATCTAACATACATGTGCAAAAGATGTAAAAAGCCGGGAGTTGTCCACATCTTTCCCCGCCTTCATGAAAGCCTCGCAAATGTGGGCAGTAGATCGATCTGACCAGTAGAGCTCAAGAGAAAGTCGATCCTGCCATATGCCAGCATATGCCAGCATGCAACCGTGTTATTGCAACGTTCATCACCATGGGCAGGAATTACGGGAAGCCTGGGCTAGCATCCGGGTCAGCGTTTTGTCCACACTCTTGAAGATGGTCTTGTCCTTGAAGCATGACAACAATGAAACGCGAGCCATTCAAACGCCTATGTTCTGCCACTGCCACGAAAGTCTTAGTGCGCGACCAAGTCAAAGTTATCCGCGCGCTGCACCTTAAAGAGCAACAGGAGGCTGCTAGATCAGACAAATCGCACTGCACACCGCGTGAGACCGTGCCAAGCTTCTTGCAATGACGCTACCTGCGCATTCAATAGGCAGCAACAAAATGGTTGACTTCGAGTGCCTGATGTCAGTCATCCATCGACATACTCGGCCAAGGGAAGAGCTTTGACATAGATGTTTGCCGGTATGCAAAGTACGAGCATTGTTTGAGGCCGAGAAATGAGACTGCATTCTTCAGCAGACACCTTGTGCCTGGTGCCTGCTCTTTCACACCTGACGGCTGTCTACGTATTCAGCTGCCGACCATGCGACGATCTGTGATGCATGACGCATGTGGGGTCCTTTTCTGCCTTTCAACCAACTTCTCGAACTGTCTTTGGGACAGCTCAGATGCGACTAATTTACAAACGAACCTACAATAAGCATTCAAAAGATCCGACAGGCGACACAAATGCTGAAAAGAAAAACTAGCTTACGTACGACATGTCGAGTTCCTCGAATCGAGATGAAGATCCCATCGTCGAGCGACCCTACCCTTGCCGGATCAGTGGCGCGTAAACGATTGCAAGCTGTTTCAGAGCCTCTACCTCGAAGACTTACAAGTATCCCTTCTACTTGCAGGCCCTTTTTCTGGAAAGGCATTTCCACCACAAGTCAGATTGCATAGGTTTGCCTTTGCATGTCCAAACACAGCCAGCCAAACAGACACCCAGGCCTGCGTGATCTATCGGCTTGCCTTCGGCGATCATTGCTTTGCGCCGAAGATCGAGCACTCCTTGAGAAATGTGCGATGCAGCTGAGCCTCCGGTACATGTTCCACTGAGTGTCGGACCATATTGCAGTTCAGCTGCATCACCTCTCTGTTGTTGAACTTCTATGCCAAGTCGGCAGAAAAGTAAACATGACAAAGAAAAAGCCAGGAAGGCATTGCATTGATTGACCCATTCAGCTACACGACAATCAATGCGTGGCCCTATTGCGACCTTGAGATGAAGAACTCGACTCCCAAACGACACAACCGTGTTCTTCAAGAACCTGCCTTGTTCGCGTTGCTCGTCGGTTGGAGCCATGACTATGCCAAAGCTAATCCCTATGCTGAACTCTTGTCGAACTGACATCTGGCACGTGCTCAGCATATTGATTGCAACACTCCTGAACAATGCATCTTCGACCTTACTGTGGCTGCAGACATGTCCAAGCTCAAGTGACTCAAGCGGAGGCAAATGCTGTGGTGGCAGGGTGTCAGAAGGCAAGAAACCGCATGCTGCAACATGCTCATGTTTCCTGAACACACGTTCACTCGGAGCAAGGCCTGTGCTTCCAGCTTTACCTCCTCGCCCAAGCAGTAGGTGCCAGCTGCATCTGGGTACCTTTGCAAGGCATGGCTACTCAGAGCTCTGCACTGCCATGTTTCCAGGGGTAAACACATATACAGATATATACAGATATATACAGATATTTATTTCGGATGTAAGTTTCGGGTCTTGAGGTTTCAGGTCCAGGGCAGACGGTAGAAAGGTGTAGGATGTAGAATCGTAGAAAGCCCAGGCTGGTTTGTTCAGACCTCGGATTGAGTTGAGAATAGCATTCTAGGCCAGGCCTTGGGGTTCGGAAGCCACAATGTCACGCCGGTATGGTTTGAACCTATTTGCAGGCTTTGCGCCGCAAAGGCTCCGGACTACCAGGTTGTAACAATATCTGCCTTGGGAAAAAATATCTACCATCTCACCTTCGGAAGCCATGCACGACAATGCGCGTAATGTCATCTACATTCAAGACACGACAACTTGATTTGTTATTGCTCAGCTTTAAACACCATGTGGCCTCAAGGCATGAGGCTTCTCTGGGCGGATGGTCAGGGTGAGGTTCGCGTCCACGCTGGCCGAACCAGCCGTGGCAGTCACCTCGCATCAGAATGTCTTCTGTGTCGTCTGCATACCGACTTTATTTCAAGTCATCGCATCCCGACCTGATAGTGCGTGGTGGGAAGTGGGCTGAGTGGGGTGCCCAGGATACGGCCGGTCGCCTGTCCCGGAATTGGAAAGCTTGGAGCAGCTGTATCGTCACTGAGTAAATTATATAGGGCTCCTCGTCCAGTCGGAGGCCATCAGGAAGGTCCGGGCCTTAATTCTAGAGTGTCCAGCTTGCGGAGCGTTCCTCTGCAAACGGCAAGGCCCGTGCTGATGCTGAACGTGGCATCTTCGGACACCTCTCTCAGCCCAAGCGCAGCAGATCTGTTTCACGTCCGACAGAGGGATTAGCACTTTCTGGCCTGAGGCGCCAAGTCCACCGCATCTCCGACGAAAATCACCGCTCCGCCCTCGTTGGAACGTCAATTGAGTAATCTTTTGTCTGTCCAAAAACGATGGAAACCTGCATGTAGTACCGTGGTCTCGCCACGTACATTATCACCTGTGACGAGTTGTCGTGCCTCTCATACAAAACTCATGTTTAAGTTCACCTTTGAAAATTCAGGGGTATCGTTTTTGGGTGGGGCTTTGCACCTTGCCGGGACCTGGCATCACTTTCATTTCATAGCCATGAACAGACTCTGTGCAACTCATGAGGCAAACCTTTGCAGGCTGACAGTCTATTGGGGTTATTGCTTTTGGGGACCTTTCGTTTTCCAGAGTTCCGGATTGATTCTCGACCCTTACAATGATGATAGGCCTGCTTCCTCTGATAACAATCTCGCATCGCTTCGAAATCTGTGCCCACTTTCGATTGAGGATTGAGGACACTCTGCCCCGAGAGCAATCAATGGCGATGTTGATTTTGGGCTTAGTAGGGTTGAGGGCTGGGGGTGATTTAGGTTTGAGGAGCTATGGCAGGAGGATGGCAGGGGAATGCTCCGGGGGTGGGGGTGGGGGGGGTGGGCGGCAGAACATGAAGGACTTCAGGTTTAGGGATAGGGTTCGTGTCAGACCGACACACAAGCACAAGGCGATGCCCCTCAGCCCCACCTCCTCCAAACCGTAGTTGGGCGGCTTTGGTCCAACCTTAGCCATGGGCTGAATTACGGCTGAGGAATAGACGGAATGGACTTCCTGTCTTTCATTGCGGAATTGCGGAGTCTCCGAAAGTCTCCGAGGAAGGCACACCTGTCACCTCCAGCTGCAGAGTGGCAGCTGCCTCCCCGCCGGAATTCGTAGCGGATATTGTGTAAGTTGCCGCGTCCATGGCCTGCGCAGTAGCAACTCCGTCAGCTTTGCGAGAGAAAGCCCAGTCACCCTAACTACTGTCGAGACTCTGCTCCAGGAATACGTGAAACAGTTTCTGCGATGCTCTGCCACGAATGGCTCTGCAAAGCGTCGCACTTGGCCAGCGAAGTGCAGGCCCATGACTGAGGAAACGGACACGCAATCACAAAAGGGACAGGTTCGGCAAGGTGTTGTCATGTCCCAACATTGTCCCAGATTTACTTTGGCTACTAGCTGAGAATCTGTCAACTGAAGCCTCTATGGTCCTCGATGGGGTATCGTAACGGTATTTTAGAAAGTCTGCCCCAGAAGCGCTGGGGCAGGGCCCAGTAGACATGGCGGGGTACGGTGTGGTGTCCGATTGTATCCAACGCAGCAGAAAACATTCTGTGCGATTCTTTGCGGGGTTTCCAGGTTGCCCTGGGGGGCGCTGTCGAGGCTTTCTGCAGGGGAAGGGGCCCTCCACTGCATCTGTTCTCTTTGGTGCTCCGGTCTGTCGCTGCTGAGTTTGACCGTTCGTGAACTCAAGGATCGTTCTCGCCTTGGTGGCCAAGTTTGTGTCCCTTTGCTCACCACAATCCGTCGCCCACCCATGGCCAAAGGGAGGGCACCCGGGCTGGACATAGGGCTAAGGACATGAATGGGCACGAGAAAGACTACCCCACCACTACCAAACACAAGGAAGCAGCCCCGTCTTTGTGCGAACAACCTTTGGATCTTTGCAGATTGAGCTTGTTGATGTCCAAGGCGACATGCTTCTTAGGATTTCTGAAGCTTTACATGCTGGCACCATGCGTTCTGCAATTGCAGCGGCTGAGATCAAGGGTCCTGCTTGCAGGGTCGTTGTTTTGTTGCTTTCTGGATAGGAACTCGGCAGCCCAGGCCCATGGGGATCACCAACAGACTAGACGATCCCCCACTAGGCGAGATGGCCTGAAAGACTTTCCACAAGATTCGACACGGTCGCAGAATCAAACAGAAACAATCAGTCCCGACCGAAGCGGATCTGACCAAGTGTTCACACGAGCAAAACCCTGTATCGTCACTAACAATCTGCAGAGGCTTCGAGACAAACAATGAAGCCCGCAGCAGCTTCTAGCTAGTTTTGCAGTAGATCTACTGGCTCTTGACATTGTATTGTAGGCTTTGCTCCCAACGACACTCGCCCACGCTTCAAGCAGCCTGCGTGGGAGCTCCAGTGATGGTGCCCGTCTCCATGCCCAGGACCTCTCAAACGGCAGCAACATGGCACGCCTCGTCACAGGACTGCCCCAGTGTTAAAGGCCAGGACCAGCCCATCTGGTAGATTCGGAGACACCGACCTTGTTTGTTGCAGGATCTAGGACATGTCTCAAGATTCGATTGCCAATAGCCGCAGACCATTCAGTCGCATCACCGCCTTCAATACTTGGTGCCCAAGAGACAGCCTCAGAAGACGTCTTAACTCGGCGAGACTCATGAAAAGATCCAAACCTCAAAGCCAGGCCCAATGAACAACTGATAAACAAGCTCGAAAACGAGTTTACTCAAGTGCCATGGTTACCACGCTGTCGTGGAGGTATGAGTTTGAAAGAAGCACGCATGTAGGCATGTATTCAACATCTTCAACATCTCGAGATCAAGACTGTATTGTGAGTGCCATGACGAACCAAGGATTGCCAAGGTCAGCTATGCTTTGGCCGTACAAGTCAGCATCGCGTAAGGATCGTCTACAGAGGGGTGTTCTTGAGCTCTGGTCTTATCTGAGGAGGGAGCTTGACCAACATCAAGCACGGCTACCGCGGATGGATACCTGGAGAATACGCGAAACCTTGCCTGCCTGTTGTGCGGTGCTCACATCGTGCAGTCGGATGAATCGGATGAATTGGGCGATCCGTGCGCTGCCCACCCGCAGTTCATGCGGGCGCACGAGAGCGCCACGGGCGGAGTGTCCTTCACTGCGAAGCACAACTCCGTCCGAACCTGTGAGAAAAACGCCAAGCATGCTGGCAATTCTCCTAACTAGCAGTACAATGAGAAGTTGCCAAAGGTTGCTAAATTGTTGCTACGTTGCTGCGCGCACGGCGTTGGCTTCACTTTCATGTGCGTTCCAGCCTCGCCCGCATCGTTCTTGGCGATGATGGTGTAAGTGGCCTAAAATAGGGGGCTCTGACCCCTGTGAAGTGAAGGCAAAGGAAGTGCCACACAAATGCCACACTCTTTTGCTTCTGAACCCACCTCGTCCACCAGCTTTCCGGGCTGCAAGGCTCCCGAGATGATCCTCATCTTTGCTGAGAGCATGACACAATCACACAGGCTTCTTACTTGAGACTCGGGCCCAGAAGATGAATCCAGCTCAAGAGCCTGGCAAGGCCACGATCTTAGCTGAAAGTGGCTCAGTCGCAAAATCTCGAACACATGGCAGGCCTCTGGCAACGCAGGGAACACTTCGAAGGAGCTCGCCTGGCCAACTACGGCGTTTTTCGAACGACTGCTTTTGCGCTTTTGCATGGACTTCAGAAACTAAGTAGATGAATCTTGATGCACCAATCTGCTTGCAGCATGTTTGTCTTGCTCATGTTGGCCTAGGCCAGCACATTCATCAGGTATGTACAGAGGACCTGATTTTAAAAATTCTCGACGCAAGCGAGCATCGACAATCGTATCTATCGCTGGAGCCATTGTGGGGCAATCCCGCACATCAGCAATGGCAGTGGGCTGGCCGTCAAAGGCTTGTGACACCGAGAACCTTGTTTCTCATCGGCTAGTCTCCTCCAGCAGTGTAGAAGGATGAAATTGTAGAAGGATGAAATGGCTCATCGCCAGGGGCAATGAAGCGTAGAAAGGTGCCCAGCATCTGGTCTGACAGCAGCGACGCTGGACATAAGAATTAAGAATACCCCGAGTCCTGAACCTTGATCGAAAGACCACCTTGCATGACGATTGACTTTTGTATTGCATCAAGGTTCATCCTCCAGGACAGGCCATCTCAGATGTGCTCTCAAGGGCTCAAGGGAAACTGGCCTGAATCCAGAAAACTGATTCGTTCAGCTCTCGAAATTTCCGAGTACAGCAGCACTAAGTTCTGTAGCGGCTGTCGCGGCTGTAGCACATGGTCTGCATTTCAAGACATGGCCATCCTAGATTCCTACATAATCCGGATGTGCTGCTACAGTTTCTCGTCTATTCTCATTTAGTAGGGAAGTGCCGAAGGAATCGTCAAGAGCCTGAAGGGTGGCGTGCGTGCCCGTCAAAAACAAAGCCGGGACGAAGATTGTAAAAAGTACCTAAGTGGGACAGGCCGCGGATATGTGCCATGAGGGATCATGCTGGACCTTCGACACCACACTGAGCCTCAGGCGGTGATGAGGGTATTCTTCCCTCCGGTTAGCACACCCTTGTTATGCAGAGTGATCATGAAGAGAGCCATGCTCGACCTCGGGCAGGTTCAAACCACAAGTCCTCCAACGTCTATAGGACTTGAACAACAGCAGCTCATACATAATGACATTAATGGCTCAATGATGATGCACATCTTCACTGTCTTCGCAACTCTTTCCATCTGACCACCTGCCGCTTGCACAGCTTCACAGTGGGTTCACAGTGGGGAGCGATCACGTCGTAAGTGGGCACTTTTGTATGGCTCTAGACCAAAGACGGTGAAGTGCCAGAGTCCAAGATGTCCCAGGATCTTCCGTGACAGCATCTGTCACACCTGTACACAGCTCGCTGACCAAAGCTTCTGCTGCCACCTTTGTACCAGGCAGCAAAAGCTTGAAGCTGTGAGAGACCTGATGTGTCATCCAGAGGCCGAGGACCATAGGAGCAGTGTCGGGGACAACTATCAAGGAAGAACCCTCGCTGATCAGAAGAAAAGTGTGAAAAATCCTGTTGCAGTGCTGCGGTGAGGTTCTTAGCATAGTCCACGATACAGCCCTTGGAGGCACGACAGGCAGCGTCCATCTCGCAGCTCTGCTGGTCAAGGTCGAACCGACTCTGAAATGCAAAAATCGGAGTCCGTAGGAAGGGGGCTACGACACTTCCAACCAAGCACTTCTCTAAGCGGTCACTGTGCATCGTGGCACATCCGACGTTCAGCAGGCTTGTTGCCTCTTGCCTGATCACGACGTAGCGCTTTAGCGGCGTGAAAATTTCCAGGTCCATGTAGAAGCCGGAATCGGCCAGCCCAACGACTTTGGCGGTGGTGTGGACGAGCGCCCTCAACGCATCGAGGTGTGCAAAGACATGGATAGCTCCCGCACTACAGCCACTAATGACAACGTCTGTTGCAGTAGAGAGGCCGAACTTTGCCAGGTCTTCAAAAACAGCCTCTGTAATGTACTTCCCTCTGAAGTACAGATAGGACTCATTCATTTTTACCGGATGTGTTGCCTCACCCGAGAAGTATCCGCCATCGCAGTATCTGATAAGGACATGGTTCCAGTTGTACATCAGCGGGTTCTCAGCAGATGATCGAGACAGCTTCAGGTCGCCGAGGGATTCTAAGTCCATCGTCAAGGAGTCCTTGACCGTGCTTCCATACCGTGACCGTGACCGCTCAAGGCAGTCAGCGTCTGAATTGCAAAAGCCGCCACCCTCGTGAAAGAGCAGAAACTTTGAAGAGCCGGAGCCGTAACCCTCAGAGAGATAGTAGAGCCCTGGGCTTCCATCCACGCAGCGGGCCAGTGGGTAGCCAGTAGGCGGCCCCACGAAATGTGCTTGCGCGACGCTTGCAGTGCCTGCGGTGCTGTCGCTTTCGCTTAGCTGCTGGTTGGCCAGCTTCGCCAGCAGGCCTCCCAGACCTCCCAGGCCTCCCAGACCGACTCCTGTGCCTCCAGTGGCTCCTGTCACTGCATCGCGATGAACAAAGCGAAGAAAGAAGAAAACGGCAAGAAGCGAAGTGAGTGAAACCTGCCACAGCCTGACCGGCATGCTTTGAGATCGCACTCTGAGCACTCCGTAGAAAGGGTACAAGGACACACGTGCTTGAAAAAAAAAGGATAAGGATCTCCTCTCCAACCCCTCAGCTGGAGAAGAATGCCGCGAAAACCATTAGAAGCATCCAAGCTGTGAAGCAACTTCTGGTCCACACGCCTTCTGCCCCTTCGATTATCTGAGCTTCAGACATGAAGAGTCCTGTGAGACGAACGTCTGCGATTGTCCATGCCTCGACGCGAAGAGTGTGTCAATGCAAGTTTCGAGGAATCGGCCATCCACACACCTGATCGGGCAGGTCGACGACTACGTGCTCCCAGTACCTCGGGAAGAAACCGTGGAGAGGGGTTCTTAGCGCATCTTTCACTCTTCACAACATGAGAGATACACTGGTTTTCTTCAAGGTTTGCACGCAAGTTGCAGCTATTGGACTGTGGACTAGTGGATATGCCTCTCAGCTTTCCTCTTCCTTTCCTGCTCCTTTGTGGTACACCTAAACAGAGCTTTTGGAGAGTGTTGCTGGAGTTCGGGACCTCCCTTCATCCTGAAAAGTTTTTGCGGGCTTACGATGTAGCCCGAAACTTCTGCAAAGCTCTGGGGCCGTAGCTGCGGATCCAGCCACTGGTTCAGCATGTCGACAGTATCCAGCCAGTGAAAATACCTGGTAGGGAGGAGGTGTACAGTCGGGCATTTGCCATACTCGAAGAAGTCAACTCAAGAGTATTTGGGGCGCGCACATGAGCCCAACAAGGCCTGGAACGTAGTAAGGCCTGAATCTGTCCTGTCCAGAGCGCTTGACAACCACAAAAACTGACCCTAAGGGTCATGCTGACGCCCCGAGGTGTGAAGCGCTCCTCAACATAGTGCCGGTACCTGCGGTGATGAGATGACTGCCAAGCAACGCTGATTCTCCTCCTTGACTGCGCAGATCAGGGCACATTCGCTCTATCCAGTGCTTGTAGAAGTAGATGCTGCTGGCCAAAAACACAATTCCTGCGGCCACTTTGGAAGCGCGTTTCTGAGTAGGCCAGCCATGCAAACACTGAAAGTATGTGTTAATGGTCGTCCTGCAGGATAGACCCAGTGGCCAAAGATGGCAGGGTTTGTAGCCGCCAGCAAGTGCGCTATATAATAGATCGTCCAACCTGCCACGTGCAGGTGTGACTACTGCGGCATTGGCCTGCACACTCCTGTTTTTTGTCGAAGTATGGCGCACAGACCAGCCTGTTGTCGCATAGAAAGTCACTCGGAAGTGTGGGGCCAGGCTGCGGATGCCATCAAACCTGGCGAAAGATTGGACATGCAGGCGTTGACTTTTGGTCAGCGCCACCAAGAACCCCCGATAACCCCTTTATCACCCTTCTGGACCTACTTTGGACTCCCTATGCACAACCTAGCCATTAAAACTCCGCGACGGATGACAACAAATCAGTCGAACAACGAGCCAAACAACAGCACCCCTCAACAATGCATTGCCCAACTGCACTGCTTTCATGGCCGGCAGGCATCCAGAAAAAGCAGGCGAGGGGGATCTCCTAACGGTCCGGTTTCCCCAGATTCAATGGCCGCAATCACTCAAGATTCACGGGCGTCAGAATTTTCGTGCGGAAGCTCGAATGAGTTTTTGCGTGTCGTTTCCGCTTCCCGCCGCCCAGCCGGTTGGCTTCGTGCCTTAGCGCAGATGTGAGGATCCCCCCTAAGCTACAACTCCACGAGAATATACGAGAATCTTGGGAGGCGTCGAGGCACTTTGGAAAGCAGCACATGCCTCTCCCGCTTGTGCCGTTTTGGTGTCGGAAACACGAAAGAAGGGGCTCGGCAGCCCACCACCCAAACCTTGCCCGCAGGATAGCCTGTTTCCTGGCTGCCTTGGCGTGCCGTCCCGAGCATTTTTGCGCCTGAAGGACATCGCGCAGCACATTGCAAAAAGCGAAACAATGTGGGCATTGAAACATATTGAAACGACGGGCTGTCTGGGGAGACCTCTCGTGACTTAAGAGCATGTTGAAGCTTCATAACTCCAAGCGTTTAGTCTTGAAATCGCAGTGCATCATCTTGCTGTGCTCGGCACATGCAAAGTTTATTGATGAGAGCATCTCTTTCTGGGACCATGATGTTGCTTGCAGCATTTCCAGGCATTTGACAGTTAAAGCAACCTTACTCAGCCTTACGCAGCATTCGGCCTTGAAGCGTAGATCACGGAGTAAATCACCGCTGCGGCATAGCACTCGATGTCAGAGGGTGGCTGACCTTCACAGAACCTGTTCATTCTGTCCAGAACGCATGTCTCTCGAGCTGACACCCTGAAGTGCAACAACATCGTCCCTGTGACTTTCTATGACTCTGTGACCTCACCAGCTGGAAGAGAAAGAGGAATCCAGAGGAAGCACAAGCCAGGCCGTGAACGTTCGGCCTTAGACAAGATCTTTTAACTTTTCGACACTCTCTGAGTTTCCTTCAGTCTTCTGGGTCAGCCAGTCAAAAATGTCAACAACTTAGAGAGCTCTCAGTCCGAGATCCGAGGTGCCAGTCCAACTGCTCCAGTTTCAGGCCGCCCGTTGCATCCTCCAAAGGCTTCTCAGACCTCTGGGAAGCACGCAATGGGAAGCATGCAGGACAAAGAGGTGCGCCATGTCAGCCCAATTGTCAGCCCCGAGCCATGTGCACCCGAGCTTCCGGCCAATGTGGCGTGTCGACATCTCGGCCAGCAATGCCTAGACATTTCACAAGTGATGCATGCAACGCGTCACTTAGTGACTTAATGTAACTTCTCAATGAGCTCACTGGGGCCCTTGCATTTTGCAAACATGTCTGATTATTTGATATGGTGTTTCGGGCACTAGGCGCGCGACTGATGTCCTGCAGTTCCTGGGAAAGTAAGAAGACTTTACTCGGAGGAACTCGCTCTAACGGCTGACCACTTTTGGTTCTTTCGTTGAGGAGCCGACTTCGGGAACACCCAGTCCTGTGGACGGGGGAACCTCCGGTGTCCACGTGGATCAAAGCATTCAACAACACGTCATTCATAACATTCATTACATTTCATTACCACTCAATCCCGACATGGTGCCCACACTTCACTACGCCCGCGGCGCCTCCACTTGGCCAGGGGCCGCAGCGGCAGCGACCCTGTCGCCGGCGCACATCAAGCAATCCATTCCGCGGATACACACACACACACGGGTGTGTGCGCACGCGGACGGCTCAACAGAACAAGGCAGCACACTTTGTCCCCCGACTCATCCATTTCTTTAAGAAAGAACACCAGAAAAAACATGAGGAAACCTTCGTGCACCCAAAGTACGCCCGAAGCTGCAAATTGCTCGAGACCAGTCGCTGCATGTCGCTGCCTTCTGGTGGGAAGACCAGGGCCTCTCCTGCTTTGCACCTGAGAACACCGCGTCGGTCGAAGAAGTGGTTTGCACAAAACCGTATTTAATGGCCGGCCGACATTGCGTTAAGCCTACGGCCATCAGCGCAGCAGCTGTAGCCGAAACAGCAGCTGCCGCTGACCTGCCTGAGACGACGTGAAAACATTAGCCGACATCAGTCCTGCTCGGCCTGCCGAGCAATGATGCAAGGGAACATAACACATCATCACCGGCCCAAACAAACATCAAAATCTTGGCCCGTCTTGACATGTATAGTGAGCCGCTTGCATATCCGTAGCAAGCAAAAAAAAAACACTCCAATCTCCAGCCTGAGCCTGGCGCACTGGCCACCGTCCTGATTGGTGCCGTTGCGAGCCATGTAAACATGCAAGCTGACATCCTCAGCACTGCACATGCTTAACACTCCATGATGTCCTCGCAGCCTTCCTTCCTACAGGCTTGACGGAGCCCGCTGCAGGCGTGGTCATGGCGTGGCCTGTTCAGAGACTGAAGATCCAGATGCTGTGGCAATTCCTCAGGAAGAGGCACATGAGGCTTTCTCTGCACATAGCATTGCGCAGCTTGACAGCGCGTTGATAGGCTATGGTAGTGCTGGTGACTCGTAGTATGGCAAAAGGTGAGCTCAAAAAAACACACTAAAAAATACTGTACAAGGGCAGAGTGGACTGCTGCATTGCTGCATGGAGCATCCCCCTGTGAAACCGAACAAAGGTGCAATTTCGCAGGATCACACCGACCACGCTCAAGCCGTGTCGTAGTGCGCATAGTTGGCCACGAGATCAGGAGACTTGTCTGTCAACTAGAGAGCGGTTGGGATCCAGCAGTTCTCTGCCAAAGCGGTTGCAACGCTCTTCCAGGTCCAATCTCAAGCTGAAGGGCTGAATGCCCCGGTAGCAATCATTCAGGCAGGATAGACCAAGGCCTGCGACAAGGCATTGCGAACAGCTGCACGTCCGGACCACTGGCGTCGTATCAGCACTGAAAGTCGACGACCTGCTTCCGACTCCGGCAGCTACCTGGTACTCGTAGCGTGACTGGGTGCCGAATGTGCGTCAAGTCGCCGAGCCCAAATCTGGCTCAGATCCCGGGCCCTGCAAGAACTGCCTCTCATTTCATCGAACGGGTACGTCACGGCTTTCAAGTGGAGTCACGCGTAGTTGTTGAAGCTAGCCCCAATCACCGAGGTCATTCCAAATCCTGATCCATCCTAGGTGCTTCATGCGGCACGAAGGGGCCGACGCGCAAACGATAAAAGACTATGCACTGAGGGCTTTGCCATCGCGCGGTAGGCAGCGAGGACGCCTCAAGAAAGACTGCTTGGCAGTGTTAGACTGCATTCTCGTCACCCAGCCTGTGGCATTGAGACCAGCCGCCACCAAGCCTTCGACTGCAAAGTGCGTGAAGGTAGAAGTGGAACCCAGCCTGGTGAGAGCAGCGCATCATGACTCAAAGCGCTTTGATGTGTCCAAGGGACAGCTTAGCCACCGACGCCACTGCAAAGGGCTGGCCGTTGAAATTCTCGAAGGTATCAATCTGGAAGTGCGCTTAAGAATTCTCAATCTGCACTGATCTGCACTGATCTGCGCCGCGCTTTCAGAAGATGCGGGACTTGTGGTGCCTCCTGGGCCTTGGCGACCCCACCATCTTCCTCATCACGGTAAACGCACATGGCCTGCAAGGGCAATGGCAGGACGCACATCCGTGCAAAAACGGCGTAGCTATGGTGAGCTCTAGCTTCGCGCTAGCCTTGTCTGCAGAAAGAGGCACCTGGCCCATCAACTGATGTTCTGCTTGACAAGGCCGTATGAGTTCATGCATTGTTCGCTGGCGGTGGCATGGGACTCAGGCTGCAGCCAGACTCACGTCATCCACAACAGTTCTGAGGTAAACTTCCTTGAAGGATCGAAAGTCAGACTCGACAAGACATTGTCGAAGCGCAAGTGCATGCAATGTCTTGTCTTGTCTCTACTGAACTTGGAACCCTAGCAAAAAAAAATTGCTGTTTCTTCCGAAAATTCAAATTTATTTCCAAGATTTTCCAAGTACCCCTAAGTTGTTCTGAGCCTGAGACAGCAACGCGCGTGGCCTTCACCCCGCTCAGCGACACGAGAACCACCTTTGACGCCGCGATTCGCAGTGTCTGATGCCATCAGCGTGCTGACGCAGACTGTCTCGTAGACTCATGCGAGAACGCATGATTCCTGGCCTGCCCTGCGCCATTGACTGGACCGAATGCGACCAAAGCCTGGTGTGGGGCTGAAACTTAATTTGTTGAACCGTTTGAACAAACATCCCCAAGCTGCAGAAGCTGACCTTCGAAGAGCTCAATCCGCATGCGGACATCCGTCGGAAAGTGGCTCTGTAGGAGCTACTGTTGGTTTCATTGTCCTCATCTGAGCAGGACATGACAACCCAGCAAAGATCCCAGCAGCAACGCAAGTAAGGTCTGGACCTCTGTGGCGTTGGAGATGTTGCCCTCAGTCCTCAATTCATCTCTGTCTCTCTCTCTGTTTTCTCTCTCTGTGTTCTCTCTGTGTTCTCTCTCTGTTCTCTCTCTGTTCTCTCTCTGTTCTCTCTCTTTTCTCTCTCTTTTCTCTCTCTCTTTTCTCTCTCTTTTCTCTCTCTTTTTTTCTCTCTTTTTTCTCTCTCGTTTCTCTCTCTTTTCTCTCTCTTTTCTCTTTTTCTCTCTCGCACTTTACGAAGGCTTCTGTGAAAACAATGCGTGTAAAAGCAGAGAACAACTGACGGAAACGCCAAGAGCACGGCAAACTGCCGGCACCGATGTGCTCAATGTCTCCAATGATGGCCTCATCCTGCGAGTTGACCTGCCACGCTTGCCGATTGACATGCTCATTCAAGGCCGATATTTGGGCAATGAAAGTGAACGTACTCAAGAAGTGCACCAACATTGCCCAACACTACTCCTAACCTTCACACTTTGCACGAAGAGAAACCGGCATCATCTCATATCCAAGTTCAACAGTACAAAGACAAGAGCGTGTTGCTATGAACTAGCTTAAGAAACAAAAAACACGACAACCCAACAAAACAGAAGCAAAGCGAAAGTGTTGTTTCTGCATATTTCTACACAGCATCCCCGAATGTTGAAACAGCAGAAAAGACAATCCGGGACGAATCGGTGGCAAGCAGCAGGCAAAGCCGACATGAGAAACACACGAAAATTCTCAAAAAAGGTGGGCAGATCCAGCAAAGGCCCTGCCCTGCACAATTATCGGCTAGCTCAGGGCCTCGCATGAAGCGTGTTGAGATCTTTTCGGTTAAGGAAAGTAGCTGAAAGAAAACTGCAAGTCTTTAAAGCCCAGGTTCGCCAGACGCGGGGACCATCGCCATTTTGTCTTCATTCTACGAGAAATTAAAACAATCGTTCGTCATGTGTACCTGTCAAAAGGCATACTGACGCTGCTGATGTTGCAGCATGTTGCCGCATGTTGCTGCATGTTGCTGCATGTTGCTGCTCATCCTCACCTGCTATGACACCTGCGGATGCTGTTTGCGCTCCCATTGAGGCACATCGACTACAGGAAGCCAAGGCCGCAAACTGTCAAAAGCTGTTCGTGTGTGCGAGCCAGGGCCTCCGTTGGGCAGGTAACCAATTGCCACCAATCAGGCACTTGCAACATGTACTGCCAGCATCTATAGACTGTCAATAAAGCAGTGGCGTTTGTTGCGTTTTGGGTGCATGGGATTGTCTTCTGTGCATTTGGGGTCCAAGAGTTCTTCTGGGTCTTGTTTTTGCTGGTCGGAATTTCTTGGAACATTCGTTAGACAAAAACATATGAACTTGTCTCGTTTCATTAGCTCCCGCATGGACAAATTGTTCATACGGGCTGCTTATGACATGACCACTTGAACTTTCGCAGCCTCTGAAACTTTTAGAACGCTTGGGTTTTGGACGTTGTAGAGCCTTTCCAATTTTGAACCATAAGGCTCTGTTTTCATGTAACTTGAAACCTAGAGTGTCTTGTCTCGTTGCATTGGATGCCCGCAGGGACGAATGTGTCCTTATGAGCTGGGTATGACCTGACCTATAGAAAATTCGCAGCCTTTTCGAACTCAGAAGCTTCAGGGCTGATAGAACTTTTAGGATTTTGAGCTTCAAGTTGAGCTGGCCTGCATGGCATATCTAACGGCGTACCGAACTGGAAGCAGCGAAGGAGTGTGCTACAGTGTGCGGATGGTATGAAAGCTGTGTGAACATGTGGATCCAACATAACGAAGTCGGAGAATCCCCTCCCGCTTCCCTGCCTGGATGGCCCTTGCCTGAGCAACTTTGGGCATGCTTGGGGCAATCCTCTTGAGCAGACACTGAGTTCGGAAAGGCAAAGCAACAAAGACTTCAGCAGGACTTCAGCAGCGCTTCAGCAGGACTCCAGCAAGACTCGGCCTGCACGGTCGCCGTTGCTTCATCGTCGTAGAAAACAATGGCCGCCGAGTCGGAGAGAGCGGCGACGGCCACGTGGCTGGTCCTTTGACTAAGAAGACGTAGCAAGACGTAAGACGCCACAGCGGTGTGTGAAAAGCAAGAAGTTGAGCGCCATACGTTCCTGAATTCACCACCTCACGCACAACAATCTGTGTCTATGCGTGAAACGCACGACGAAGTCATGACACTCCTCGATGTTTTGCTGATTTGAAGCAGGCTCTCAAAGCAACATCGCATTGCTGCAACGGTGCATGCCAGCAAAAGACATTGCTACACCATGCAATCGGCGGAAGGGTGCTTGACCATCAGGGCAAGCCTGAACCATATGCACTATGCCTTTTCTTTGCCTTCATTGGTTTCGAGCATGCTTGGAAGAATCATTCGAAATGCTGTCGATTTACCTCTCTTGGTGGTTCCTTGCAGTGTCTTTTGGTGGTGTATTTTGACCGTACCTTTGGTGTGGTGCATTGGTGTGTCATTGTTAGGTGTGGTGGCTTTGATGTGGTGTGTGGTCTTTGGCGTTTTGCCAAACAGATGCGGCTTGGAGAACACCCTGGGTCCGCTTTGCGAATTCTACTGCTTCTTCCTTGAACTTGCACTGTAGACGCTTCGCAATGATTCAGGATACTTCTCTTGGATCTCCGCGTTGCTGATTGTAAATCCGAGAAATGCAGCATTGTTGCGCCGCCAGGGTTGCAACATTCCGGGGTCACATGGCTGGGACATGCGACTTCCAGCGGCGGAACCCACAAGACCCACAAAGTAGTTTACCTCTTGAAAGTAAAGTAGGGGATCTCGCCGCTTCCAGTGGCAAGAATTCCAACAAACATTGAGATATATAGATATCAGAGATAGACAAAAAATAGAAAATGGACAAAGAACAAAAAAGAAGATTCTTCTTAGAAGAGAGAGGGAGACACAAAGAAAGACAGACAGAGAGAGAGAGAGAGAATTAATACAAAAACTTAACGAATAATGGGAGAGAGAGTGTGTGTGTGTGTGAGAGACAGAAACCGCTCTTCACATCAGAGAGACAATTAGAGAGAAACAGAAGCCCGACATATCGTTTCAAACAGAAAGAGAGAGAGAGAGAGAGAAAGAGAGAGAAAGAGAGAGAAAAAGAGAGAGAAAGAGAGAGAAAGAGAGAGAAAGAGAGAGAAAGAGAGAGAAAGAGAGAGAAAGAGAGAGAAACGAAGGAGAAGACAGAGAGACGACGTGAGCGAGAACAAAACCTAGACATACCTCCTCTTTCACAATGAGAGAGAGAGAGAGAAAAACAGAACCCGGAGATCCACAATAGTCACGTCATGTCACGTCAGAAAGACCATGAGGGAGAGAAACAGAACCCAAATATTCCACTTTCACATCAGATCAGATTTAAAAAACGAAATCGACACCGAACACGGGCATATCGATGTCCCGTCAAAGAGGCAATGAATGACAAAGAGACAGAGCAGAAAGCAGAAAAACAAAAACAACAAAGAAGAACAGAACCCAGATATACCGCTTCACGTCGAGCGTCGAGTCAGAACCTTTTCATGTTCATGGGCACGCGCTCAGTTTAACTCTTCGCCGCTACTTATGCACATGGAAACATTTTAGCGGGAGAGAGAGAGAGAGAACTACACATATATATATATATATACATGGAGACACTGAGGGAGAAACAGAGATAGAACCCAGACATACCGTGTTTGAAGAGAGAGAGTGAGAGAGAGATTCATGAAAGAGAAATCGCTTCCACGTGATATCACTTCCATGCGACGTCAGAGAAACAATGAGAGAGACATACGCTTTCACAGCAAGCGTCGAGCCGGAACCTGTCCATGTGCATGCAAATTTGCCGACATGCTTATGAAATCTAACCACTCGTCTGCGCACGCCGACGCTCTGTATGAAAATGGTCTGGACCAAATGGTCTGGACCATTCCGAAAATTCGGACTTTTCATGAACATGTCCGGACAAAGTGTAAGAGAACTCGAGAATTTACACGGCTTCGCATTTACGAAAGAATTTCATGGAATCGGTCGAAGGAAGGACCTCTGCTCTGATTTCCTCTTAGCCGCTTCGCAAATACTTATTTAAGGGCGGCGTTTTAATGAAAATTCTTGGAATTCATGCAATGATCCGGAGAAAAAAACCCGAAAAACTCAATTAAACAGTCCAAGTCGACGCGCGCAGACCAAATCACAGGGGCCGGCTGCACCGTTTCAAGGAGGCTCTATGCTGTGCGTGCACCGCTGCGTCACTGTTTGATTCATTCTACATTAATCATGGAACATCGGAGAGCTTGGGTGACACTGAAAAATGTGAAAAGGGTGCCATTTGTTTCCTGCTGCTCGCTTCAACGGTTTCTAAGGCGCGCTTCTGCTAGGATGACTAGAGGCCCGGGACCAAAGAGTGCCCGCGCGTTTCACGTCCAGTCCTCCAGTTGGTCATGTTCTGTGGATGGCTCTTAATGTCAAGGTCGGACACACAGGATGTCTGAAATTCGGACGGTAGTAGAAGACCAAATCTTGAAAAGAAAGCGCCGCCAAAGCCAGCACAGGGCATGCAATCAAAGGATGTTGTAAACAGCTCGACGCGATGCCCTCACAGATCCTCACAGTCAATGCCAAGCGCCTGCTTGAGTCCAAGTTTGATGCTCCACTGGTCAGGGAGGTAATGCGAGACGGTCATGACAACGACCTGAAAGGCTAACAGCCCACAGGAAGACTCACCAGACTCAATTGCAAATCGTATCAAATCGTTAAGGCACTGACAGAGCCCTGCTTTGAAGGGCCATCGACGAAGACAGCCAACAAGCGAGTTGCAGACAGTCTTGCCACCTCTCCCATTCGAATCGGTTCGTGACTTAGGTGCTACATCTGCTGTCGTCAACTCAAGCTTCGGAGCAGGAGGGGCCCTCTCCTCTCAAAAGAAAGCCGAAGCTTGCCGTGAGGGACTTTGAGTTTAGCACGTTTACTGAGCTTGCCCGTTCTTTGAATTTTAGGCGGTCAAGCGAGACCCTCTTCAAAAACAAGGTATGTATTCAGGTCCTCTCGTCTAGCGGAGGGAAAAAGTCGTTATAGAGCATGCAGCAATGGAGCAACAGAACACGGCGACCACAAGAGACAAATGACGAGGGCCACAGCGACAAACGCGCAGCCGATGCCACCACCAGCGACAGTGTGGTTCTGACATGTTTGGAACCCCACCGTACACCGTGAACTGGGGGTTCGGTTGCACCTCCCACCAACGTGGTCTGCATCATGTTACGTAAGCCTTTTCCAACCAGGTCGAAACCCCGTGCCCCAAATCCTCAACCGGCTGCCCATCAGGCAAAGCTGGCATTATGAGCACGGCGTTTTCTCCACCATTCATGGTTACATCATGAGACGTGGTGCCCTCTTGAAACTTAACGCAATTCAGAGTGGGCATCCTCAGGGCCGGTGCACTTCCGGAGGAACTTATGTTACGGGACAGATTACGACACGGCAGAAAGAGGTTCCGCTGCCTTCAGGGACTGCACTGATTCGCGGCTGGCGTACGCACAGGCCTCTGGTCGGCAGGGTCTGGTCATACCCAAACAGCAAGCAGAAATCACAAGAGCATGCAAGCGAAGTCAGATTCGGACAGCCAGTGGATCCACTGTCACACACGGCCGGAAGCTCTCCTGGCCCACTGCTGACACTCCTCGCCATCCTCTTACACAAGCAGCCAAGCAGCCTCCCAATCCGCAAGGCTTCGGGGAGGCATCTGCGAGAAGTATTGGGAAGCTCGGCGTGCTTGCCACGTCGGCCTGACAGTAGGAGGAGAATGAAGGAAGGGGGAGATGAACAGAGTAAACGAGCGTTTGCAAACTAAACATGTGCCCTCTAGACTCTAGCACCCATTACACAGCTTATGTTGCTGGGATCCTGGCGCGGTCTGTGGCCCAGTCGGATGTGCCTGCAATGAACAGCGGCTAGACTTCCGGAAGAAAATCGATAACGGACATTCCATGCCTTGAGCATCATAAGATTGCCCGGATGCTTTTCGGGGCTTGATAGATCACGGAATCCTGGTGGTGCATATTATGTGTTTGAGCACGAGCTCAAGGATGCTTCAAAGGCAAGGCTTCGAGGCTTCGCAGGCTATGCTCACTATGCTCTCCTGCAAGCAGCACATAGTCCGTGTGACTTGATGTGAAGTCACCTCAAACACACAGGCACAGGCACTCAGAGGCGGCACCTGGCAGCACTGTCAAAGCGGCAGGCCGGCAGCTGAGGCTCTGGCAGGAACCAGCGCAGTCTTGCAGTCCTTGTGTAAGGGGCTCGCGCGTCGTGAGGGCCACAGCTGAGATATCATCAGAAGGTCGCTCGTGGAAGATGTAGCTGCCAAAAGGAAGTGCTCGATCGGAGCCATCCACCTGAAGCACTACCCCAGCTGCGTGGCCCGCCATTAGGCAGCAATCATAGTCATGCCATTCTGCCAGGGAGCCCGTTTGACGGTTGCTCGTGCTTGGCGTTTCCGATGGATCAGAGTAGAGAGCCAGCAGCTTGTGACTTGTCTCTTCGCTGTCCAGACGCACCAGGCCAACACTTCCCACACGATGCTCAAAGAACGGTGTCGGCTGCCAGTACGTGGGATAATCCACTTCATAAGGAAACTCCACGCCAGACGAATTGGCTGGATTGGGCCCCCAGCATATCCTGAATCCAAATGGTGGCGCCTGCGAAGTTGCAAATCCGAGGATGTAGAGTCCCCGTGTGCTGCTGACGCCGTCTATCGGCTCCACCCCAGCCGGATTAGTTAGCTCGCTGAGATCAACTGCCTCTGCTGAAGCATCTCCACAACGACTTGGGTTCGTAATCAGCAGAATGGCACTGGAAGGCACAATACCCGAGCCAATAATGGTGACTGTGCAACTCCTGCCCAGAACACAGTCCACAATCGCCGTCAATCGAATCCAGAAAAAATCTGGATCGATCTCCACTCTATACAATGCTGAATCTGAGACGCTGTAACTGGTGGTGGAGGCTTCACCGCGTGGGTCGTGCCCCCAGCATATGCGATGCGACGCCCCCGACTTCCCTTCAGCAGTGCCAAAGGAGTAGAAATTGTAGCTGTGCAAGAAATCTTGGCTCACTGCAACGGGATTCGAAATTGACCAGGCACTGTCCAATGCTGGAAGGCCTGCGTCCCCGCATCTTCCAGCGGCTGTCTCAATCAGCAGCACCATGTTTGAAGAGCTGAGCCCGATTCCACTGATGTTGATGGTACATGGAAAGTGCAAGTAACACTCAAAGTCCATAGCAAGAGGGCCCAGCATCATGAAGAATCCAGCCTCGACAGGGTACTGCTGTTCCTCCATTGTCTCATTGGCCGGGTCATGACCCCAACAAAGCTTGTAAACGCCCGGGCCAGGCTCTTGCAATGTCACAGCTGTTGCACCCCGGGTCGGCCTGCCCAAGTCCCAAGTGTGAACCGGGCGATAGGTTGCCTTGTGGCCATCACTCCGTGTGCAGCCGTCTTTGGGGTTCACCAGGCCCTCAAAGGCCGCAAGCTGTGGGTACTCAAGCCTGGTTGCACAAGGGTGCGGCATGCGAACAACTTTTAGGCCATTGTAGCTCCGCAGCGAGGTCCCATTGAGCAGCACTGAACATGCTTCCCCCAAAGTGCAGAGCACTTCTCCGACAAGATCACATGCATACAGATTGTAGCCACATACAGGGGCAGATGCGTTCGTAATTTGCACGACGGATGGAAACTGCAAGCTGCTGAACATGAGGCCCGCGGCATACTGCAGCATCTCTTCATAGACCGGCGCATGCGAAGTGAAGCCTGTGGTGCGGGGTTGCCACGAATGCCCGAGGGCAAGGTAAAGAGCGACCAGCCTGGCTGGCTCTGGGCCCATTCCGAGTATTACGCCGGCCAGGGATGTGAAATCGCCGTCAGCATCACATGCAAGGCTGCTTTGGCCCGGGAGGTCCACGAGATCAGAGAGGCAATAGCAGGCCTTGTAGAAACCGTGTGTTTCGATGGTCAGAATTTCAGGAGCGCACCCGCATGTCTTCCCTCCTTTGATGATCTTGACTTGTAGCCCGGGAGCAATGGTGCAGTTGGTTCCCATGGGACAGACAAAATAGTTCAAAGGACCTGCAAGTGAGATGACCAAGGTCGGGCTCACAGCAATCTCCAGGATGCGAGCAATCTGCGCTTTAAGAGAATGCGCATCTGGTGACTTCTGCAAGTCTCCGGATGAGAATGAGAAGCTGGCATCTGCAGTTGCTTCAGCATACCGCTGCACCCAGGGATTGGCCTCCAGCTCGGTAGCGTTTGCACATGTAAGCCAGAGCTTGCCAGAGCCCGGTAGATCAGGTAACAACCACCCTCCAATTCCAAAAGCAGTCGCCGCACAATCGATGGCTGTCCCGGTGTCTGACCCTTCGACGAAGCTCACATTGATTCGGAGCGTCACGCTACATCTGTCCCCACTCGCATCACCTCCAAGTCGACCAAGGGTGCGTAGCATGCTTTCACCCCCCTCCGTGACCACAGCACTGACATAGCCGTCTTCTGGGTCCGATCGCAGCTGGCCAACCTCAGTTCGCCGCATTTCTACCAGCACATTGCTCTCGACACATTCACACCACGGCTTTAGGCTGCATCTGTTCCATGCTTTGTCTGGATGCTCCGCATTCCTATCTTTCGTTATTTTCTTTACGTTTGCTTTCTTGCTGTCAGCATTCGACTAGCCACAAGGCATATCAAGGCAATCAAAAGGATATACATATATATATATATATATACATATACATATACATATACATATACATATACATATACATATACATATACATATACATATACATATATGTATACATAATACATATATATGTATATATGTGTATATGCATATACATATATATATACATATGTATGGTAGCCCCCACCACCCCCCCCTCCCCCCATTCATCCACGATTGTTCCTTCTTTTTTCGTCCTGCTCAGCCGCTCATGTCCAGGGGGGGCAGGGTCTAGGGTTGAGCTCTGGATTGAAGGCCGATTGAAATCAACTTTGACATTGTTCGGTCCTCAACCTGGAGTTTCCAGACAAACCTTCCTGTGGGATCTTCAACCTTCAATCTTCGATTTCCAAGGAGTTTCGAAATTTCAGTTTTGACAAACTTCTAGCACATTACAATCAGTCCTTATAATAAAATACAAGCATTATATTGCATGGCTTTCTTATGAGCTTCTGTTTAGTAATGCCTGGCTTGTTTGGAGTATGTGGAACTTAATTGTGTACCTATCTGTCGATTCAAGAGTCTCCAGAAGTGGTATATCCTAGAGTCAATAATGTTCTATCTTAGTCCTTGTACTTCCATATCTTCTACAATCTCAGCATTTGGAGGTGGTACAGGATGTCCTTTTTTCCACTACCATCCACTTCTTTTATGACTTTACAACTTTCAAGCACAGGAAACCCTATATTTGGATTTTCATCTCTGGTATATCTTCATGTTTTGCATCTTAACTTTTGGACAACATTTCTAGATCTGAGATCTTATTATCTGACATCAAAGTCTATCCCAGTGTTTCCTTGGGCTTTCTTGAGTACAGCTTTCATGCATCCATTCACATTACCAATCTTATCTGGTATGGTTCTTTTAATATTGGGTGAGCTTCATTCTAAACACACTTTGCTTCGATCCTATGGGTGTTTTATCTATGCAAATGTTATTCTTGTTCGGGGTCATTTGTTATTGACCACGTTTCTTACGAGAAATAGCACCCCAAATAACCAAAAAATCTGATGAAAAAACCGTTGAAGTACATTATGAATTACCTGTTGAGCCATGATTTTGTTCAGATAGCTGACCCCTAATAATGTAATAATGAATATACTTGTCCACCATGACCTAGAATAGCGGCATTCGGAAACTGATTTGTGCACAACAACACCAGATTAATTAAGGGGGCTATCCACAAGGCGTATTTTCAGAGGTTTTGAGGCCGAAAGCGGTGGATCAGGCAAGCAAAAATGCAGACCTTCTTGTTGGTGATGGGATGGTCGTGTGGATGGGAAAGAGGTGGCGGGTGATGGTCCTACCATTGGTCGAGGCACATGGCCACTGACGTTTTCGATGAGCATTGTCCATTCCACCGCAAGCCTGGAGACCTGCACAAGCACGCTGGGACAAGTACTGCGACCCACGAAAACAAAAGGTCCAGGCACCCTGAACCACAAAAGCGGAGCCGTAATGACCTCTGGCAGGATGTAGAGCCTTGGTGCCATCATGTGCTGGCGCACGCTGTATCCACTGTATCACGCTGTCCTTCATTCAAAATTGCAGTTCTCTGCAAATTACCCCAGGTGCGTGCCTTGTCTGGCGGTGAAGGACCTCAAACGCGACCACATTCGCAGAGATGTGCATTCACCATCTGCGTCTCTGATGGGCCCTAGTTTTTTGCCATCTTTGCGTCAAACTTGGACAGCAATTTTCATAAAGAAGCTCTCCTGCTCTGCGCCGTAAACAGCACCGAGAGAAGCCTGGGGGCATTTGTCTGTTGCGTACTTGCAGACCGAGGAACCACCCATTCATTCCCCATGCAGTTGAAGGTGACGTTTGGCGCAACGTCCCAATACTGCCTGAGTATTGTTTGGAGATTCTATGAGATTCTTCTGCTCAGCTTTGGATGGCTCTGCATTAAGGTTGGGATTCCGAAGAGGTCTAAGTGGGCATGCGCATGTTGTACCTGGACCGTGCTCGCCATCATGATGCTTGTGCCACGCATGAACGTATTTAGCTCGCAGATCCGCAGTGATGCATTTTGCAGGTGAGCTCAGGTCTTCTAGCACACCACAGGGTCAACAGCATAACCAAAATGCACAGATGCTGAATCGACATGAGTGACTATCAACCTGCTCGAAAGGCCAAGGACCCATTCCAACTGCATGGAAAATGGCTGACCAAAAAACTCTTTAGCTGTGTCCATCATATGCCAACACGTTGGGGGTGGGGGGGGGGAGGGTGGTCTCGAAATGTGAACACACTCCTCTTTGCACGCGACATCGTCGTCGCACTCTCCTCGTGGCATGCTCTTCTCACCCATCATCAACACCTTTTGCAGCGCTCTCGCCGCTTCATGGTGTCGGGGTCTGGGCTGTCGGAGCCTGAGGCCTCTTCTGGTCCGTGCGTCAGTGCCTGTTCGATCTTTGGCAGCCCCTTACAGGTGAGGTCGCATCGAGCTCTCGTTTTGAACTTTGCTTGCTGTCGCCTGCCAGCAAATCACAGTGTACAAAATGTGCACAACATCGTCCTTGCGCACCAACATGCGCATGCCAGCGTCTCTCTGTTTCTTGATTTCTGCGTTTCTGGATGCCGCTGCTATCATAGCAGCTGGACGCCTTTTTGGGAAACTGCTGTAAAACGCCTTGATTTCTGCCTTTTCGCGTCTCGGCCTGGAAGCTATCATTTGCTGTCTCATCATAGGCGTGTCAATGAGCGTTTCTTCATGTTTCTTCTCCGACGAGCTCACAGATTCGCATAGCAAGCACTTCCGCAGTGTACCCTGGCCGTGACGAAAATGACTCTCGTGGCTTCTCTGTCAGGTCAGGTTACGGCACGCGACGGGCCATCAGCGTCCCTATTAAAGACTCTCATACTTTGGCAAAGCAGGCCGCATTTGAGTCAAGGCGTCTCATCGCCCATTCTCGGTCTTCAGCACGCTAAGCACTGCTAGGCAATCCCTAACCCCTTCCGTGCCATCAGATGGATCTGGCATTCACGCGGACGTCTCTTCCAACAAATTGCAGGCACACGTCATCATCGGATCATCTATTTGAATCAAGGGACCCATTCCAAGCCAGGCAGGACGAGGTCAACAAGTGCGGATCTGATGTACCACCAACCTAGGCGAGCGCAGTCCATCATTCGATTGAGAACTATAGGGTAACGATTCAGCTCAGTGATTTCGCATCATGGGGTTCCGTCAACTGGCTAGCCGTACTCGGATCAGCGCCCCGTCCGATTCAGTGGGCCTTCCTGGATCAGCAACCGTACGATTCGGATATCGGTTTTTGGGGATCGCGACAGCGGCGTGCAACGCGGTTTACCAGCCCTTTTCCTGGAAGCCTTAAACCCCACAAGCCAAGGCCGGCGGGGTTTAGGGCAGGTCTTCCAGTCATTGAAGAATAGTGGGATTCAAAAGAGAACCCAATGTGATAAGTTGCGGGCCGAAATCTGGGTGGGGCAAATCCCTGAGAACCCAAAAGTTCGTGAGTTCTCTTGTCAATGCCAGTTCCCAGTTTCTTCAATGACTGGGAAGCTTAAACCCTCAAGCCAAAACGGAGGCAGCAACCTGTGACTGACTCAGAAAACAGCTCGGAGCTGCGACCCTAAACCGTAAACCCTAAGCCATGTGAAGCCTGAACCCAGTGTGTCGGGTTAGCTGCAAACATTGCAAACCTTGACCCTCTTGGTGCTGTTCGGGATCCGAGTGCCAATCGGCTGAGCTGACTCAAAAGCAGGCTTGATGTGAGTCGCTGATCCGATTGGGCGAGCTGATTCTGACCCATTACCTGCACCTTCCGATTGACAAGAGTGTAGGAACCCTGAGAACTTTTCCAGAATGAGGTCTCGACACAACGGATGCCACCGTAGCCACCCTCTTGGATGCTAGGACTGACCCACCTTGCTCGCTCAACAACGGCCCATCTCAAAACCAGGACACGATCAACTGACGGCTGGGCACCAACTTGCACTAGTGTCATCAAAATAAATGATGCCACCTGGCACTGGCAGAACTGAAACCCAGAACAGTGTGACAAGCACGCAATTCGCAGAAGTTCATCGGCGTGTCGGCGCTTACCGTGTGGGTAAGCCTGATGAGTCTCTGTACACAGAGCGGCCATAGCGTGTCTCGCCATTCCTGCATTCGGTGGACACACGTATTGGCCAGGTAAGGTGGCGCGCGTTAGAAAAATCTGCAAAGATGCAACAGGGACCAAGGAGGTCACTTAACCCCGCATTTGGCCACAGCCGGGCCTTTGCGCATAGGTGCCATCACCCATAGCCTGGTAGTCCGGTGCCCCATTCAGGATGCACCGCCGCACCCTGTCCACAAAAGGACAGGAGTGACAGGAGTGACTCGGAGTGACACCTGCATCCTCTGCGCGCCTGTCATTGGTGCCCTCTAAAACCCATCGCGAAGGGGCATTGGCCGAGTTGTTGTATGGCATGGAGAAGGAGAACCTGAGACCCGAATTTGAGCACATGTGCGTGGCTTGCAAGTCCTGGATGACATGTTGACTTGATGCGTCCCTGGGCCTGAAAATTCCCTGAGCCACTTCAAGGCGCGGGCTCGTCAATGTACACCGGTGCTGGAAAGTCAACGAGGATTGCTCCATTGCGAAGCTGCGGATCCTCAGCTCAAAAACCCTGCATTGCGTTGCACTGCATTTGATTCTGTTGTCAACCTCGGCTGCGGCAAGCACGTTGCCAAGCCCGAGGCGGACAAGTCGTGGAGAAAATACGTTGTGGCCGATGACAGGTCAATCTTCGTTCAGGTTGCACATAACCCGGCAGCCAGTAAACCCGAATCATTTTGAATGAACGTCTGCCTCGACCTCCTGATAGCGAAATCGGATCTCATTGACAGCACACCATGTGCTGTTGCAGGAGGGCGTAAAGCGCATGTGTCCTCGACGCATGGTCTATCACGGTCTCATCGCTGAGTCCGTTCAACAAGGAACTGATCTCGGTTCCAAACGATACGGCATGTCGTTGGGGGCATCCAATTCCAGAGCCTTGCGTGGCGCTTAGAGCCTTTACTTACACACCTGCCGGGAGCAAAAAACGACACAGCTTGGGCGCTGCACGTAAAGGCTCGAGTCTTCACCGCCGATTGGTTGCGTGGCGAAAAGAACCCGCCTCCCAGGAAAGATCTCAATAAGTATCAACCTCTGTCATGTTTTATCTCAGTTTTTGCAGCTTCTCGGGCTCTGCCCTCGATCTCTATGCTGCGTCGGGCCCCAGCGGTTGGAGGGGGCTCCAGTCGTCTGAGTTCAGGCCCAAGGATTCTTTACTCCCTTTGGACTTTCGGGTTTGGCTAACATCCATGCCCCCAAATCGGCAACTTACAGCTCTTTCTAAGCTGTTGCATCTTGCCTGCCGATCTGCATTCTTTGTAGGACCCGGGAAAGGACCCGTCAGATGAGCCTCAGGCTGCTACTTTACTGCGTGCGTTGCTGCTGCCAAACGTGTCGTTTCCTCAGCCGTCTATGGGCTTGGGCTGCGTAGACCGCTCTCTGACTGCTCTCTCTGCCTGCTCTCTACTGTTGCATTGCGAAGATTAACCACCTTGGCCCCACTGAACGTATGCTCTCCGAGTGGAAGGGTACGACTACCATTGCATTGAACACTCGTCGGGCTCAATCGCCCCTGCAAGCGCCTGTGCAAAACTCGTATGAGACCGTGCTCTTCTGGCATCCCCCTCATCTCTCTCTTCTCATTGCCCCATTCCATTCTCCTTCTACACCCGGCCTGTCTTGATCAAAGGTAAGCACCGGCGCTGCGCCAGGCTCAACTGTGGCATCGTCCACAGTGTGGCCGGGGTAGCTCGCGGAGTCCACAAGCTGCCAGGCTCAAGACTGTTCATGTTCAGCCATGTTCAGCCACTAGATGCCACAATGTCATGAGATGTTAAAAGGCACATCATCTGGCAGGGCAACGCTGACAATGCTGGGCGTGTGACAAACCCAACGAAAGCCAGCGGAAGTGACTCTAGGAAGCTTCAGGATGTGCTACGGCACACCTTAAGCTGAATCCTTGCTGTTGCTAGCGTGAAAAATATCTGTGGAAATGAGTGGGTGATTGTCAAACCTGTAGGTTTGAGGCAAAGCTGGTTGGATGCTGGCAACCTTCAAAATCTTGGTGCTGTTGAAGCCGTTGGCGCTGCAGCTGCCAACTGTTCTTAGCGTCCCGCTGTTGTTTGTTCGGAATTTGTGCTTGCTGGCGCTGTTCGGCGCTGTGGTCAGTCGCCATCCCTACAAGCCCTACAGTACTCTCCAACGGCCCTGAACCCTAAGAAGCCCTGCCTCTAAACGCCCTAAACCCTGACTTGAGAACAGGGCGGACGGAAGCCGGGGCCCTGTAGATGGCAAGTGGCCATTTTTTTTTGGCAGTGGCTGCTCAGAAATGCGAGTATGTATGTCAGCGTAAGCTGCAAATCCTGGGAGGGGGGGAAGAGGAGGGGGGGGGAGGGGGGGGCGGGGGGGGGGGGGGGGGGGGGGGCGTGACCTTAAATCCTTGATATCAGGGATTCAGCCCCCGGAGGCCTATTTGCCCCCAAGAAGGTTGCAAAAAAAACAAACCGCAAGCTTCAATTGCCACGCTATGCTAAATTGAGGCTGCTGCCAGCTGCACCGGGTTCCTGGCAATGCACCAAACTGCCCTACAAGCCATCCAAACTGAGGCACTACAGTGCTCTTGGCATGCATATGATGCACCTGCTTCCTGCAGATGCTGAATACCTCGGATAGGCCGGGGTGAAACAACAAGCCAGTCGCGCCCGATGGGTAACAATGCCCAGCTATCATGATGCCGTTCAAGCGACACGCTGCCGGAGTAGGAGGTTCCAAGCACACTTGGCTGCCCCTCCATGTAGTCCTGCAGCGAGTTTACATCCTCAAACCGCAGACGTGCGGGAGGGGGGGGGGGCCATGACGAGGCCGACAATGGGCTCGTCGAGGTCGCGATGCAGCGGGAAGGCAGCACCTGGAAGAGGCCACTCAAGCCGCTCTCAAATTCATTGTCACGTTTTGATACGTTTTGCTTGCTTGAACTCTTCACTTTGTCTCCGGGCGTCCAGTGATGGCAGAGCTCGCATGGAGGCGCCAACGCCAGCTACCATCCTGCGGCTCACGGCAGTTCCCAGCAGTTTTCAGTCACACGGCAAGGACAATCCCGTGCGCCCCTCCCTTTGATCATCGCTTTAGAATATGTGCTGCGGGCCAACTTCACATGTGTGAACAAGCGCGCGTATGGCTTTTGGTGTGCTTAGACCCGGGTCTCTGAGTCGGCAACGAGGATTTTCGGGTTTGGATTCTGAAATGGTAGGATTCCTGGCTTTGTGTTTTCTGCTCACACCTCCTCGAGGCTTACCTCCGCGAGGTAGTACGGCATGTGGGATTTCGGTTTGGTGCCCTTCGAACTCAAAAGGCATCTAAACATGCCAAGGCAAGGTACGAGGGCTGAGCTGGGAACCAAGCTAGGAACGGAGTCTAGGCTGAAATTTTGGTCAAGACCTAAAGGAAGAGTCGCGCCAAGCCAACTAGAGTTCCAATCATTTCTTGTTGGGATGATTAGGGCCGTGTGTAAGCATGCTTATTCGGTTCGCTGGCAGAACTGTCTCAGTGCAGAAAACCACCCTTCAGGGATGGGATGGGATGGGGCTGGAATGGGGCTGGGCCTTGAGATGGCTTTCAAGCAAACCAAGCGCGGGCTTGCGAAGCATTCTGTTTTAGAGGTTTGCTCCTCGAAGAGGCCGGCATGCTCGGGAGGTCCACCAAGCAGAGTTTGGACCTGACACTCCGCCACCGCTTGGAAAAAGATGCCATCTTGCACACACCACACCTTTCTTTTCGAGCCAAGGCACGAGTACCACCTGATACCAGAGACCACGATCTCGGTCAAGTGTTCCTATGCCAGCGAGATGCATTGCAGAACATGGAGCTACAGCATCCTGCAGTCCTTGACCAACCGCATTCACAGCATCGAAAGCTTCGTAGAAGCTAAAGGCTTCCTGGAGGCAGTACATTAGCATTAGGTGACCACATTTGTGGAGGCGCATATGCTGCAACAGAAGGCGACGGAGGTTCCCTTCCCCTAACTCACAAACCATGGAGAACTATCCTTAACATCAAAAAGCAATCTTCGCAAAACAGACCGACAAAGCGCAAGCCCTAAACGAGTTCATGGTTGGGATGATCTCAAAAATTTACATGCTTATTCCTTATTTTATTCCTTATTGGGTTTAAGTACCCTTAAAAAAGTAAAATGTTACTCAACTATGACCAAGTATTGACCCTGCCACCCCTTTGGTAGCGACGAGCTTGTGCTACATAACTTACAGTTTGGGCCCTTTCTTAAGTCACTTTGCTCTGCTTCGTGCTTCCATTCCCTGTTTGTTGCCGCAACCGTCGCCATTGGCCCTATCGCAGCCAGCACACTGCCCGAAGCTGAGCGCTCGGCCAAATTGCCGCCGCAGAAACCCGGTCTTGGCGGAAGATCGCGGAAGGGATGTCCAGGCCAAGCAGAGGCACAAGCTGAGTGCACTTGGCCAAGGACAAGATGCTGAAGTACGCTACGAGGCCCCCAAAGTCATCACTGCCCCAGGCATCGCAGGGCCTGGAGCCGTGGGAGTCACCAGCACAGGGGCCCGCAGGGGCCACAAGGCCCGAAACAGCACAGATATGCACACCCCTGAGCGTTTTAAGGAGGACACGCGTCGCAAAGCGTCTCCTCGAGCTGCTGCCACGCGCTCAAGGCGAACTCCGATGGCTGGCAAGCAGGATTCTACAGGCATACTGGTATCAGTACTGAGATGTACGGAGAAGTGAGGCACCTCAACACAGTAGCAGTTGCCCGCGCCAACCAGGAAGGCTTCCCAGTCGACGCAAGCATCAGCACCTTAAAGCTTGTAGTGTGTCCGTCACAGACATGGATTGCTGCGATGGAAGAGTGTGTAAAAGTATCTGGGCTTCTGAGCACGCAGAAGGCGACGATTCCGTCAGCGTGGAAACCGTGTAGTTGGAACCCAGCGCCTCTGGTGTTATTGCAACGTGATGCAATTGTCCATCCTCACGACACCCTGGCAACACAGCTCGGGTGCTGGCACCAGCAGGGATGTCAGCAGAAAAGCAACCACCGAAAGTGAAGCCCTCAATTGTGACCTCTGCCGGCAAACAGCTCAAATTCTCCGTTCTCTCCAGTCTCCCCGGCACAGCCTGTCAAGCACATAGAGCTATGCTGTTGGTGATGGTGGAAATCTCAGCAGGGCACATTGGAGACTGTACCAGCCAGGTCAGCCTCGGCAGCTGCTCACAGCCGGACGTGACCGTTATTCTTCTGATCTCTACTGAGGCTACGAGTAGAGCATGGCTTAACTGCCGGTAAATGCCGGCAACGTGGCCTCAGAGCGTGACGTGCACTAAGTCACGTCCATACTCTGTGGATGCAAACGCCACTCGGAGCAACCTGAGCGTCTTGGAACTGTCTGAGAGTATCTTGGAGGGCCTCTTGACTTTATTGTGTCTGTTACGCACATGTACGGGATGTGCTGATCTGAGATGATCTGAGCTTCTTGCTCAAGGCCAACCAGCAGTCTCGCGCACATGAAAACAGCCCCTCTGCAAAACGGAGAAAGTGGCGTGACTTAAAGTCTCCTGGAATGGTCTTTGCATCGGCCAGTGATGGCATCCCAGGCCTGCTTGTTACTGCTTGACAGTCTCTGGGCAGTCTTGCTCGCGCCCTGCGCCACTGGATGAAGCGGCAGACATTACGCGCGGTTGTCACACACGTCACCAATCTCTTGTTGGGGCATCGTTGCTTGGCTTCAGAGCCTCCAGGTCCGTTGAGGAGCTGGAGACAATGTCATGGCATGAGGCACTGGCACAGAAAGCGGTTTCCATGTACCCAGAATGCACAGCCTGCCAATATCTCCATCCCCAGTAAGGTTCGAGATGGTTCGAGCTACTGATGAAAAAGGGACTTGAGCCACAAGTGCGCAGCACTTAGAAGTCATCGTCGCAAGCCAGGGCAGGGCAGGGCAGGGCAGGGCAGGGAGTTCTTGTGAAGCACCCTTCCCAGTGATTGGATTCATGTGACTTCTCTTGCCTACATAGGTCAAGGACGCAGCCATAGGCGCCGCCATGCCGCCTGATTTGAGATTTGAAGTGACATCTCATGACTCATGATGTCACAACGTAAACTTGACTCTGAAGCTTCTCATATTTCTCATACAAGTGGTACCCTGCTCAATCCTGCTCCGCCTCGGCCAGCTCTTGCAGAGCCGCGCGCTCGGCACAAAGCTACCCATTGAGCCGAGATGCATCCGGAAGATCAGCAATAGGTGGTCCAAACCCCTGCCAACCTCTGCACTCAACGACTACTCCAAGGGAAGTGTTCGCCGACGTGTCAGGTCGACCTCGCCACCTTCAACTTCGGGCCTGCAGCAGATTTTTTGGCTGCTGATTGTGAAACCAAGTGAAAACAGTGTACTTCACTCCAATATACTCAACTCTGCAGGCAACTTGTATCCTTCTTTTCGAAAATGAATTTGGGATTTTTGGCGGCATCTTGCATTCCTTTCGAGCATGAGTTGAGCATCTTGTATGTGTGTTTCCAGTATGAGTTTCGGGCATCTTCTCGCTTTCGGGTATGAGTTTGGGATCCACTAGGGAGAAGAAGACGATGCCCAGAAGGGCATCATAGGACCACATCGGCACCACTCATCGTAGCCCTCAAGTACATCCGGCGAAGTAGGGGAAAGGCCCAACGAAGGCGACAACGAGACCGAACCAGGCGAAGTAGGAGCAGCGCCCCCGCCCCCATTGCCCGGCTCGGTCTCTTTGTCGTCTTTGCTGGGCCATTCCCCTGCTTCACCGAGCTCGGTCTCTTTGTCGTCCTCGTTCGCGGTTTCATCCTCGGCTGTCTCCTGGTCATCTTCCTTCTCGGCTTGCTCCTCGGCTTCTTCATCGCCTGGCTTGCTGGCTGTCCCTTGGGCCGCGTCATAATGCGTCATAGCTCACCCAATGAGCCTCTGTGTCGTTCGTGCTAAACATTGCTAAACGGATGCACGTCTTGCTCGGCCAAGTCCTTCAAGCGAGGAAGGGCTGTACGCTTATCTGCATCCCTCTGCTGCCGCTGCTTCTCGGCCACGAGTGCAGCTTGCAACATCTCTTCATTCTCTTCGTGAGTCTCCGGCCTGGGGGCCCCATACGTAGACTTTCCACGCCGAATGGTCTGGGCACCGACTCATCTTCTGGCGGCCATTGCCGCAGTGAAGAGCTCTGAGCTACGAGAAATCTGCATAAGGCATTTACAAAGCTTTGCCACTGTGGCATCTGGAAGGTTGGACTGCCGGGACAAACCTCCGCCACGGACCTCCATGGACCTCCATCTGGAACCGCTATGGACCCTATATGACCCTGTTCGGCCGTGTGGGATGTCATAAGACCCATCTGCGCCGATGTTCTTGTTGGCAGCTGATGCCCGTTTCCGCCTACAAACAGAATTTCCCGTTCTATGGGTGCCGACTGACAGCTAACAATCGCCAGAGTAGTTGGCTAAGCAAGTTGGCCATGGTCCATCCCAAATCACAGGAATTGTGTGGAGTGGTCCTTCTTTATGTGAGGAGTATATACCTTGCTTGCGGGGAGCCACGGTTTGCTTGGGCTGCCCTGGTTGCCTTCTTCTCGGGTAGTAATCACATTGCAAAATACATTGCAATACGTTGCAATAATACAGTCCACATCCTTTCTTGGCATCTTCGAGTATTGAAAAAATCAAGACAGCACACAAGAAGGATAGGCCGCGGGCTTGATATTAACACGTCTTCCTGGAGACATCCTCCGGCGCACCCCTTTGTAGCAGATCTTCTCCGGTGCCTCATTCGAATTACTCGAAGATGCTTTCGTAAACATGGCCTCTGGCACAGTGTGCTCTCACGTCTGCTCTACCTGCGTCTGTGAGATGCTTGCCTTCACCGTGGGCGGCTCCCATGGCTTGAAGGTTCCGAGGTCCTTGAGAACCGCCTTTTGCCATTCGGAGAGCCGAGTTCAGGTTTCGTGGAAGCACTGAACTTCAATTAGCATCTCACTAGCAGGTCACTCAACAGCATCCTGCAGTATCCAGCATCCATTTAATTTGAATTCCATTTCCGCACCTCAACAGTCTCGATGACACCTCGGAGGTTTTGCCACCTGAGGCTTCGCCGAAGCGTTCTCGCGCCATTCCGCCCTGAGCTGAGCAGCTGGGCCCAGCGCCGGGGGTCTTTGGCATGCATGTCAGAGAACCTGCGCGAACTGCAATGTGTGGCGCAGAGCATTGCAGAGCATTGCAGAGCATTGCCCAGCATTGCAGAGCATTGCAGAGCATTGCAGAGCATTGCAGAGCATTGCAGATATGCGAGGACGTGCGAGGATATGCGAGGTGCAGCCCTGGCAGTGCAATACCTTTTCGTCTGCGGCTGACTTCGAGACTGCACGTCGACGAAGACTCGATGACTCCCCCAAGAAGACCTTGGATTGCCCGGTCCAGACCTGAACTATCTGAACGCGCAAGCCAGCGGATGAAGCACTTCTGAGCTCGATGCCGACTGCGCCGCATCCTGCGTATGAGCTTCGAGCTTTACATAGACCAAACAAAACTGCAATCACTTCGCTTACGGAGAGGCTCGGATATCGCCTTGGATTGTGGCACACTTGCTTTTGCATCGCTCCGGACGTCTGCTTAGAAACGGGAAAAAAAACTCTACGGTCTCAGCTCGGCAAGAGCCAGGACAGGATCTCAGGAGACAGGTGTACCAAAACGTAGATGAAGCGTAGGCTCAGAAGCTCAGAAGCCCTCCGCCAGCTGGACCTTCTCGAACTGCTTCTTCTTGAGGACGAAGGACAGCTGGGCAATGAAGCAGGAGAAAGCAAAGGCGCAATAGGCATAGACCCGGTTCATGTCTTGCAGGATGCATTCCTTCTCCTCCTGGCCAAATCCACCTACGTTCGGGTTGGTGGTGATCGGCTCGTCCTTCTCCACCTCATCACCCACCTGCACCACAATGTCTGAACCTGGGAGGCACTCCTGAGTTTTGGCCTCGCCGGATGGGGTCGTGATTGTCACCTTCAAGCCATCAACAGCGCTCACCGTGCCGGTCGCAACGGCAAAGAACTGGTTGTTGTTGCTCTGGTTGCCCTCAGGATAGACCTGACCACGCCCACGGTTGCCACCGAAGTAAAAGATGCCCTTGCCGAAGAGGATCTTGTCATCCGTGTTGGGATCCGGCGCAAGGACAGGCAGCACCATCTTCTCGTAGGTTTCGCCTGGAACGGGCCCTGCAACCACAATGTTCGGGTACTCCTTGCTGTAGGCGGACCAAGCAAGGCCCTTCATCTCCTTCTTCAGCGGCTTTGGCAGACGATCCTTGGGAGCCAGCTTCCAACCTTCGGGCATCACAGCGATGGCTCCGATGTTCATGGGGCCCTTGGAGCCATCCGCGATTGGCTGGCGGCGCTTGGCGTACTTGGCAGGGATCTCCACCTCGGTCTTGAAGATTGTGTCGGGCAACACAGCCTGCGGAATCCTCACCTCAATTGGCTTCGAGGCCAGGTGGCAGTTGGCACACACAATCTTTCCTGTGTACTCGCGTGGGTTGGCATAGTTCTGCTGCGCGAAGATGGGGTACGCCACCGCGGATTCCATGGAAGACGTGAAGACCATTGCCGCGGCAGCTCCAGCCAGGGCTTGCTTGGCAAAGTTCTGCACATCCTGGATGTGCTGGTCAGTCTCTTCCAACGTTGGGGCCTCCACTCCATCGAGCTGGGCACGGCAGGCCACTAGCTGGTCACGGAAGTAAGTTTCACCACCAACAGAACTGCTGAGGCCCGTGGCCACTGATGCAGTCTTTGCCCGCACACCACGTGCTTTGCGGCGCAAGGCGGAAGCGGTGACAAGGCCCGTGGCTGCCAAAGCTGCGCCAGTGCCCGAGAACCACGTGCCAGCGTCACTCTTGGGGGCCTTCTTGGGTTCCACGGGGACTTGAGCCTGTGGAGTGATGGATGGGCTGATCACCGTGAAGGCGGTGGACGACAGCATGGCGTCACTGGCTTCTTTCGGCGGCTTGGCTTGGCCTTAACTGCCTTGACACTTTCAGCTGCGGACGAATGATGGCATATGATGGCATGGAGGTATGCTGACCGGGCTCAGGCGTGTCAAACTTGCGACAATGGGAGCAATGCTGTGCGACGCCGTGCAAATTCTCTGGCTCACTGCACAAGCTCCTCGTCCGCTCGGCCTGGCGACCATTCACGGGCCTCGGTGAGCGCATTCCACCTGTATGAACATCACACACATATGAAGCCCGTGGTTCGACGCGATCACCAAGACGCAAGCCATCAGCTCCTCATGATCAGAGAAGAGTTGACAGTTCCGAAAGGCCATAGACCTGCAAGCAAAATCTAGTCAAACCTGCTCACAGACGAGCGCTCAACTTGAAAGTAGCAGACACGGGCACTAAATATTTGCAGGCTCTCGGATGGAGAAGTCCCGAGAACTCTAGGTAAGATTTGCAAGATTTAAAAGTGTCATTGGTCCAGCAGAGCACAAAATCCACAGATGTTTCAGGAGCCAACAACGCGCGCCCAGAGTCAACCCGCAAGGAGCGAGAGTGTTCCAAGCTCTATACAGCAGAAAGTTGTTCTCGGACCATCTGCTACTTGCAGAGTCGCGGAACTGTGGCTATACACTTTCCTGCGAGTCCAAGGAGACTCCAAAACCTGGCATGTTGCCCATTGCCCTACGGCTGCCTCACATGCCTCATTGACAGCTGGAGGCGTCCCGAGCTTGCGTCCAGCACTCGCACGCGGATTGAATCGCCTACCTGGGAGTACACTCTTCACCTCTCGCATCTCTGGATGTCTCTGGCACCCTGACTTACACCTTGCACCTTGCATCTCAAAATACCTCACCCATGCTCCGAGGGTCTGCAATGTCAGCCTTCACATGTTCATCCAACTCGGAGATGTGGACGAAGCCCTTCACGGCCTCGGACTCAAGATGCGTTAGAAGGGCTTCGTTTGACGATGCTCTGCCAAGATGCTGCGCCACCACCTAAGTCAAACAGCCACAGAGAGGCTAAGCAAATGACACAAGGACAGGAAAGCGAGAGAGAGCGGGACCTCAGAGAAAGAGAGAGAAAGAGAGAAGAAGAGAGAGAAAGAGAGAAGAAGTGAGAGAGCCATGGTTGCGTCTCTTCCGGACCAGCCTGGAGGTTGCAGGACGGCAAAGAGGCCAACGGGAGTGGCTTGCTGCACCACCTCGTTTCACGAGTAGCGCCAAGGAGAGTATCTATCAGCAAGTACCTACCATCTACCCAACCAGTTTCGGACCGGGATCAGATGATCAATAACGATGACCACTATGCAAGCGCGCCGCTCCCTGGAACCACATGTGCGGGGACGATGTTGCAAAGGCAACCAACGAGGAGCTCGTGTCCGGAGGCCTTTGCCGCAACAACACTGCCAGACCGGTAGGCATTATATGACAGTTTATGAGGCATTGTGGCAGTATCTGTTTATCTGTCTGACAGCACTGCAATCTCTAACACCGAAAGAGCATGGCGCCTTTTTGCTCTAAAGAAAGTCTTGGCTCTCGGCCGCTCGAGAGGTAACAGTTCGGAGAAGCTCGTTCACTGAAAGCGCTCAAGTCCAATGGCGCTAAGCACGATCTTTCACACTGGTCTTACTTTCTTTTTGGACTTGATCAGTGAGTTGAAGCTTCGGGTCCCTAAGGAACTTGTTCAAAATCTCAGTCAGCTTCCAATCTAGCTTCGTGAGACCATCGGCTGCCATAAGGCTTGTTGGCACCCACCGAAAGTCTTCAGGCTTCACACACTGCTGTATGCTCCTGATATTTATCAGAGAGCGTTTGTCGCTCCAGGATTTTCAGCTATCACAGTATCATACAAACTCTTGGCATCTGTTACTTGAACATTCGGGAAAACAGGTGGTGCCTTGAGTGCTTGATGTCCTGTGAAAAGCTCACTCAAGCAGAGGTTCGCGAAGCCTGCTCTGTCAGAGCCCTCGTCTGCAGCACTTGCCTCGGCTGCCAGCGTTGACCTACAAACTCTTGCCGACCTTGCAGACTTCCAGTCCACTAGCGTCCCTTTCGTGATCACGGCGGTCACGCGGACCTGGCTCAGGAAGACAAGGACGCCGTACTGCGATTTGAGCTCGGCGTTAGCAAAGCTGGAGTCGGTGTAGGTCACGAAGCAGCTGTCCTTATTCAGGGCGATGTCCTGGTAAACTAAACCATCTCGAGGAGTGGCTTTTAAGAACTCCACCGCTTCGTAGAGTCGCTGGAGGTCCTTGTAGTCGGTAGCCTTTCCCCGGTTACTCAACGAAACCAAGGGTCCGATTTCTGGCCTTGTCTGGCCGGCAATCCACTGCAGGCTGCCGCTGACGCTGCGAAAGTCTGCCCATTCACTGGGCGTCAAGTTTGCAGCTTGCTGGCCTCGCCCTCGAGCGATCTTGCCTCCTTCCATGCCCTCGATGAACTCGGACTGAGTCACCAAGTACTTGAAGCGGCTGCCTTCTTGGTGAAGCCGTATCTCTTTTCCACGGTACACGGCGTGCTCCTCGGTCGTCACCTTGGTGATGCTGCCCCAAACGAACATGTTCTCCAACAGGTGCAGTGGGAAGCTCTCGCTGTACGTCGCGAGGAAGTCGTCGACGTGGATGATCACCACTGCTTGGAGCTTGTTGCCGTCGCCGACGTAGTAGTACAAGCATCTGTCGAACGAATGCCGCTTGAAGCCGCGCTCGAGCATGGTCTTGTGCACTCGCAGGTACCAAACTCTTGGCGCGTTGGGCAATCCATAGCAGTTGCCTGTCACAAGGTAGAGCTCGGCTGGGAAGCTGCCGGTGGCCTCGATCAAAGGGTCCCTTGGGGGCCGCATGTACAATGGGCCGTTGCGCTCTGAAGCATCTTGATCTCCTTGAAGAAATGCCGATTTGGCATCTGACGCCCACAAGTGCCAGCGTTCGCCAGTGTAGTTGTACTCCTTGTTGATGCCGGCCGCGGCTATTGTCATAAGCAGCGATTCCGAGAGCCTTGTCGGAGTCGGTGAATCCCGGGTTATCTGGAACAAATCCGGGTCAGCACAGCCTATGATGACCACACGGCACTTGGGTCTCAAGGGACCTATGCCTTTCGACTTGTCCCGGTAGGCTGCCCGCGACTTGAGTATGCGGCGGGACAGCTTCGCGTCGCCCAGGATGCACTTGGCCTCCCGGTGGGATATTGGTTGAATCCCGCCCCACGACATCCAGTTGTCGTTCTCGACACGAGTGGCCTCGAGGTAGGCGTCCAGCTGAGGCTTCGGGAGAATTGTCAGCTGTCTCCAGGGAATTTCTCGGTCAAGTTGTTTAAGCTCTTTTCGGCTGTGGGTCCTGGAGTTTGATGTGCTCATCGAGTTGTCGTCCGAGGACTCGTCGCTCCTTTCGGGCTCCTCGGTCACGCCGGCCTCGTTCATCTCCTTCTTGCGGACGCCGCTGTTCAGGTAGCACTTGTAAACGTAGTTCCGCTTGAAGGGAATGTTGTTGTAGCCGCCGTCGTCTTGGTAGTCCCGGAGCGTCACCTCGCCGTTGTCGTGGTAGTTGAAGTTCAGCGGCCTGCTCGTCACAAGAACTGCCGCCGGCCGCTTCTGAGGTAGAGTGGGTAGCTCTTCCTCGGGCGTTTCCATGGCCTGCGCTTGAGCTGGCCGAGTGGAAGCTGACGCTTGCTCAGCAAGGTTTGGCTGAGTCTCCTGTGCATCTGTGTCGTTAGCATCGTGGTGCTCGTTGTGCGTGACGTGTCCACCTGGTTCAAGTGGAGGTTGTCGCAGCGGAAGCGACGTGTAGTCTGGAGTCCCAGGCGCTGCGTTCAAAGGTGTAGCGGGCAGTCCTGGGCTCAAGGCTGGAGAGGCGTACTGGGCGCTGTCGTACTGTGCACTGTCGTACTGCAGCGCCTCTGGACGACGGTCACTGGTGACCCTTCTCGTCAGCGGTGTCCTGGAACGCCCCCTCCTGGTACTCCTCGGTGTAGGCGGCACAGGCGAAGCTGGGACACTGAACTGGATAGACCTGTTGTCTTGCGCCACAATTTGCTGAAAGACGGGCCCCACGTGAGTCTGCTGTTTTGTTTGGCACACCGTAGAAGAACACAGCCACACGGATCGGCTTGGCAAAGCGCTGTTTGGGATAGGTCACCTGGGAAAGGTCCTCGGATTCTATCGCAACTTCCCCAGTGGTGAGCATCAGCGCTGCGCCTCGATGCGTGAAGGGTATATCCTGTGGCCATCGCCGGGACTGTGGTGTCCAGGCAGCTTGCACGCGTTCCAGTTGCCACGGCACGAGTTGACTAAGAACTTCTCGAAGAGGGTCGCCGGGATTGAGGTTGAAGGGCTTCTTATGGGTGTTGGAGAAGCGCTGCTCAATCTCGTTCAGTACTTGCTTCCAGGTCTCCGGGTCGTTCAGAGGCCGCGCGTACATCACATCGAAGGTCTTATGCTGAAACCGAGAAGGGAAACGTCGCCTAGCCTCTTCCTGGACACCTTTAAGCACCGAAGATATCAAACCAAAGCACGGGTAACCCTTCTTGTGCACGGACTTCGTAGGCTGGTCCTGGCAGTACATCAGCTGTTCCTCGGTGAGCTTGTTCCCCAACCGGTCCAGCACCGCCCGGCTGTTTGAGATCCATTGGTGCTGCTGGGTCGTAGGATATCCTTGCTCGTCCTCCTCTCCATAAGCACCTGCGTGGCACACGGTTTTATGCACATCCTTGATTTCCAAGAGGGAGGCTGCACACTCACGTTGCCAGAATCGGCCGCGTGGGTCGTGCTCTCCAAGGAATAGCCGACCATGGTGACATTGTTCACGGCAAGCCCAGGCTCCGAGGTTGTACAGGTCATCGAGGTTGCCAAGTTGTGCGTCGCCGGCATTCTTGTGGGGCCACCGACACACAAGGAAAAGTGGTCTCAGCTGCCGCACCGCGTTTTTTAACGTATTGGTCTGCTCCTTGTCATTGAGATCCTGGCCGTAGACAAAGTCGAGGGGCTGGAGCGCCGTGAGGCCGTAGTGCCGCGCCGTCATGGTGATGCCGGCCGTGCCCGCGAAGATTTCAAGCACGTCAATCTTTGGCAGGCTGTTAGACGCTCTTGTAAAAGGGCATCTCCTGGTGCTGCTCAACCTCGAAGCTGTAGTTCTCGCGCGCCTTGCGCACCTCGCTCATGAGCCATGTTTGATGCCCCCGCCTCAATCCTGAGGTGGCACCAGGCTCCAGTCGTAGGTGTCGCTCAGGTCGTCGTCGATCTGCTCGTTCTCCTGCTCCTCTTCGGCCGGGGCCTGCTGAAGAGCATCGCTGCCCACCGCCTGCATGCGCTGGGCTGCTCGGGCCCTCGTCTGCTGCAACACTGCTTGCCCTTGTTGGTGACTGCCCTCCATCCGCATGGAACGAACCTCGGCCTCCGTGACGTCCAGTTCGCTCCGACAGGGCGGCGAAGGTTTGGCCTTTGCCGTCAGTCCAGTCACCGACCGGCTCCCCGAAGAAGAAGCCGTTGAGCATTGCACGTCCATCGCCGGCAACAACCGGATCGCCCATTCCCGTTTCGCTCCATATGTGCGAGAGGGAGGCAACGGCCGCTGCGATGGTGTAGAGGGCAGCTCTTCCCACGCTCCGTGCACCCATTTCCACCTTGTTCCGCACTGGCAACACTTTTGGAACTGGCCGTGGCGATTGCCGCTTCGAGCCAGCATCGCCGCGGGATGTTCGCAGGGCATCTGGAGGTAGTTGATCAAGTTGTCGGTCCACCGCTGGTGCATCGGGTCCTGGTGCACCAGCCAAGAGCGTGGTCGAAGTCGAAGGCGAACCGTCTGCGCCATGAAGCGCAGGAGCTGCATCTCGGCGCCGAGGAACATCAGCACCATTTTGCGCCACTTCTGAAGCCATTGAGGTGGCGGCAGCGATGTGAACATGTGTTGGCGAGGTCTCTGAGGCAGGGGCTGTCACAAACTCCACGTCTGGGTCACCTTGATCCAGAACGCTGCTCAGTGACTTCCATTGCGCAAAATGCTTCTTGGGGAACTTGTTCAGGGCCAAACAGACGTGCCCACTGATCTTGACGATGGGGACCTCTACGCCGAACACCCCGAGGTAGGCAACACCTTTGGGGAAATCCAGAACGGCTTTGAGTTTCTTCGAAATCATTCCCAAGCTCAACAACAGCGGTATCTCACTGCCACCATCCATCACTGAAGCCCCAAACAGCGAACATGTTTGCAAGGTGCCATCTAGACATGTTGGGAAGTACGCATGCTCACTGCTGATTTGGATGGGCCCGGTGCCGAACTGAAAGCCTTCGTTCTCGGGTCTCAGCTTCGCATCCAGCTTGAAACTCCTAAGTTGCTCACGGTGGCTGTTCAACCATGTCTTGCTACACAAACTTCTCTGACAGGCGGTGTCAAGAACAGCGAATCCAGCATAATCCCCAGGACGACTAAGGAAAACTTCTTGAGGAGGCCCAACAAACGCAGTCATGAAGGTTGTGAAGTATGACCCGTACTCTTGTGTCTGCTCGTGCTCTTGTTCGGCCTCGGGGTCTTGGACGGGGCTGCTGCTCTCGAAGGAAACCGACTTGTCTAGGCCCGCTGGGTGGAACACCGTGAGGACTTTCTTTGGCGCTGCTCCCTTCTTGTCGCGCCTGTCGCCCTTTGGAAGCGAAGTGGTAGAGGAAGAGGCTGAGGAGCCGCGACCGCCTTTGGCGCTCACGGGGCAGGACTCATCCCCTTGCCAGTGGCCTTTCTGGCCGCAAGCCATGCAATGGCTATTCTTTTTACGCTGCTCCAAACCTTTGCCTCTGCCACCTCCAGAGAATTTCCTTCCCAGGGTGACTCCTTGGAGTCTTCTCGCAGTCACGGTCAAGCAATCTGCCACTTCGCGCATGACGTCCTCGATGTTCTCGGGGTCGTCCTGGGGCACAAGCTCCTCGTCGTCATCGTCGCCCTGTGCGTCGTCATCGTCTTCTTCCGGGATTCCCGGCATGTCGTCTTCGCCTTGGTCTTCGTCATCTGGCGCCTCTTCAGCAACATAAGCACGATGGACTTTTCCATGCCTGCCGTGGCCCTTCGGTCCTCGGCCTCCTTTTCCTTGGTCCTTGCCGCCCTTTGGTGCTCCTCGCTGACTGCCATCTGGATATCCAGACGTCCGATGCTGCACGTTCTCGAACTCCCGGTGGTAGGCCACAGGTGGCGTCGCCCTATGTTCAGGAAACTGCAGCTGGGCCGACTCGCGTATGCTGTCAAAGTGCAAGCTCTGGCCCGTCGCCACAAGGATGAGGCGCTGCTGTTCCGAAGTAAGGCGCATCCTGTCCAGCAACCGGCTGCCACGGGACTCGGCATCATACATCGCATTCACGTCGATCCTTGCAGCCAGCAAAGATTTCTCGGTCCGGTGATATCTGTTGCAAAAGGACCTGATCGATTCGTTGTTGTTTCGACCAAGGTATTCATAGTCGTGCAGGAACTTTCGCTTGAGGTAGATTGCACGTGTTTGGAGAGGCCGCCTCAAAGACTGCAAGATATTCTCTATCCCGCTCGGCGAGTCTATCTCGCCCATGTCCATGAACTCTAGCTCCTCTTCCGCCTCGCCTCTCAGAGACACGTAGAGCATCATCGCGGCCTCGTTCTTCGGCATGAAGGAGGAAACTTGCCTTTCCCACACTCGCACTTTTCTCTCATACCTGTCATACGCACGCACATCTTCCCGCGCATAGTTCCAGGTCGGTGGCTGAGGGGGCGCCCCGCCACGGTACTTGACTCCGGGCTTGGGTCCTTTGGAGAAAGACCACTCACCATCACTGCCGCGGTCCTTCTTTGAGAAGATCTCCCCCATGTCCTTTAGGAGCTTTCCCCTCCAGGTGCCACGGCCGTCAACATCTCGATCTTGTTCAGGGTCGTGACCTCCAGGCTGTCCTCGGGGCTGTACTTCCGGAGGGCGCCGATCTTGTCCTGAAGGTTCAGCTCGAGGTCGTTGGCCGCCGCTCTTCGCCGCAGCCGCTGCCTCCGCGCGTCGTTGTCGTCGAGAAAGTCGTCGTAGTGGCTCCAAAGTGTCTGGGTCCACGGTCGGGTCCGTCGTCGCCCGCTCCGACTCTGCTGTCTCACGGCGGTGTCCCTCGGCCCACTCTTGCCAAGGGAAGCTTCCAGCGGGACGCCGGGCTTCACGAGCCGACGGCGAAGTCGAAGACAGGCCATCCAAGGTCGAAGGTCGCCAAGGTGTCCCGGGCGAAGCGTCGAAACCATTGGGCTCAGGGTCTGCACGCGGAACATACACCCACGTTCCTGCTGGCGCCAGCCGTCGGCCGGGCGCGCTGCTGTTGTAGAAGTCTCTGCTGGAGCACACCGAGCAAAACCATCCATCTTGGTCCCGGCTGAACTGCTCGCTCTCACATCTAAAGCAAACCCAGCGTGGCGCAGGTGTTTCCAGGCGTGGTGGTTCCAAAGGTACCTCCTCAGATCGAAGCCTGTTCCCGCCGGATGTCGTGGCAGGAGGTTCGAGACCTGGTGGCATCCTCGGCGCAGCTGGAATCTCGGGCTGCTGTATTTCTTGGCGATCTTCATCGTCCAGCCAGTCGTCCAGCTCCTCCAAGCCAACATCAGCTGCCATCTCGCGGGAGCAGGGAGGCTCCGGTGCCAACTGACAGCACTGCAATCTCTAACACCGAAAGAGCATGGCGCCTTTTTGCTCTAAAGAAAGTCTTGGCTCTCGGCCGCTCGAGAGGTAACAGTTCGGAGAAGCTCGTTCACTGAAAGCGCTCAAGTCCAATGGCGCTAAGCACGATCTTTCACAATCTGAAGGCTGCGGGTCGTCCCTAGCGCGAAGCCTTTTAGGCTCTTCCTGAATCTTGATGATGAGCGGATCGTCCACAAAGGTCTCAAGGTTGTCTCGGACATGTGCCTCGTAGTCAGCGCGAGCCTCTCGGCACCGGCGGCAAGTATGTAGACGTCCACCTGCTCCAAGAGTCTCCACCAAAACAACAGCAGAGCTCTACATACTGTTCTCATGTGTAGCAGAAGGCCTGACCTCTTGGCCCTCCGACAGGCACCCTTCTGCCCCAGTCCTCGAGACACCCGACATGTCCGATGTACCCGTGCAGAACATATAGATGACATAGAAAAACTGATTGCGCGCACATGGAGAGCCTACCATTGTCAAATGCTGAAAACATGCCGCTTGCATCCCCGTTCGTCAAGTCAAGAAACCTTGCTGCATCAACTTCGCTCGAAGGCAAGAAGCCCACAATGTCTGCACCTAAACTGGGTGCGAAATACAGAAAAAATGCCAACCACACCGGCATGTCTCACCTTCACTGATTCACATCCATGACAGAAAAATACAGCGACGATTTAGCGGCGATGCATTAGCACAAGCGTCCATGAGTGTCAGCAGCATGGCACGATGCCGGGCTCACCGACCGTTTTGCGAAATACGAAGGAAAGCGCCCGAAAGTGACACGTTCTCAACCTGGGCTGGACAGGAAGAGAATGCTGGGCCGCTGCATCTGGCGACAGCACTCTTGCAAAAGTGCAAACTGACAGCAAAGATCAGGGAGGCACGGTTCCATGCAGGCTCGTTTTGAGCTCGAGGGGCTCGAGGGGCTCCGGCGCAGATCTGCCAGTGAGTTGAGCGCTGCCCGCGACATTCATGATGTGATTCACTAATTATAAATTATCAGAAAAAAAACCCGATGGAAGGACGCATTGCAATGGATTGCAACAGCCACCGTCGCTTTTGCAAGTGCTGCAGAGAGCAGAGATTCAAAGCTGCAAAATGTCAAGAGTTTGCACAAAACGAAAGCTATGAAATGTTCTGCCCATTTCGACGCCTCAGAGAGAAGCTCACGTTGACGTCTCCGTCTCCTTCTGCAGCTTTCAGCACGCGGGCCCTGACTTTCTGCTTTGCCCGGAGCACGTCGGAGACCCTCTGATCCACGAGGAGACCGTCCTTTTATTCACCAAGCATGCCGTCACACACTCATCACTACGCATCACCACTACGCACGCCACGTCATAACGCTTCACATTGTAGCTCTTACATATCGCATCTGGTCGCCTACCAAACATCTACCATCCAAGCTGCAGAAGCTTCAGAGATGTGCACCCAGCCATAGACAGCCTGCACAGAGGCCACACCCTCCGCCCATGTAGAACTAAACATGATGGGACCAGACACTGGGCGTCAGCAGAGCTTTTGCTCAGCTGCTGGCTGCTTCTTTTTATGACGCGATTTAGCCAGTCGCTCATATGTTACTTCTTCGTGCGTGATCCTTCGGGCTGGGTCTCAAGCCAACAAAGCCGACAAAAACATCGCGCACAGACAAGGAGAGTAGATCAGCCGATCTGCTAAACGACTGCCAAACAGTTAGCACGATTGGCACTACCGTAGCGTCAGATTGCACACGCTCGAGGGTTGCCATGGCAAGTGAAGCGAAAGAGTTTGACTTAAAAATGCTTCAGACATCTTTAGAGCAACCAACGACAAATCGGCACTTAGAGACTTGGAGTGGAGCCACCAAAATCCAGCAAAAGCTCCAGACATTTTCGGCGATCCTCCGTGCACTTTCGTGTGCTGCGTGTGCACTAAGCCCGACTTCTGAGGCCACGGGAGGCCGCACGAGGCCTGGGAAGCATGGGAGCAGGCCGAGACCCCAAAGCGACGGCTCCGCACCTCGCAAGCAACGGGACTATGGAACGCAATGGAACGCAATTTCGACCTTGGCAAGTCCGACTCCGTTAGACTCCGTTAGACTCAGCGGAATGCGCATCGGGCTTGGCTGCGTAGCTCCCGCATCCGGTTTCTGGACGGGCTCTTGGTTCGTGCCTTAGCGGTTTCTGCTATTTACCAGGACCACCCGGCTTTAGTTTCCTTTGTTTCGTGTTTCCTGTTTCTCGTCCGCATGTTTCGCCACATTGAGGCTTCCTGCGGCTTCCCTTCTGGCGACTTCTGGGGGCGGACTCTTCTACTGCTGCACACTGCGTGTTTCGATTCCCCCCAACAAAAAGAATACTGAAATAACGTAGATTTCCAAGTGGTTTCCGTTCAGGCGAGCTCGCGAGCACCGGAGACTGACTGAAGCATCATGTCCCTTGGTTGCTTTGTGCACAAAGAGCATGCTAACAGCTAGAGACGTGCAGAGCCAAAAGAATGAACCGACGCGATCCGACGAGGAGCGCGGGGAAGTGAAGCCACGCAAGAACGAAGCTACTCGTGCTCCCCCTCTCGAATCCCTCTGCGAGCTTGCACGTTACCTTGCCAGGCGTGGTGCCTATCAAAATGTTTACGAATTGCGAGGTCTCACGCGCCTCGCTTGTTTCAGGGTCTGTGACCTCGAGCTTGGCGCCGAAAGGACCCACCTCCTGAAATGCAAAAAAAAACACTCCCAGACTACGGGGCGGAGAGCTTCCTACCATATCAAAAACATCAAGTGCCCAAGCCTTGACGACGGCAGGAAGCCATTCGTCTGCTCCAAGTGCGGCTAGAGGCGCCCTCCTCGTGCTCTCCTCAATGCTCTGGTTAACCTTTCTCCACAACAACCAGAGAAAACACTTTTTGATGGCAGTGCCCAGGTGTGCTGAGACACAGACACCCTGCGCGGTGCTGGACGACACATTTGCCTCATTTGCCTTCTGGGTCCTTGGCACAGCATGAGACGCCCCTTGTGACGGACTTGTGAAAGTAAGAGGCCGATGCCCCTCAGCAAGATCGGCGCGAGTGCTGCTGGCCTCGAGGCAGACGGCAACAGCAAACATATCAGTGACATATCGCACATCATGTTGCAAAGACTTGCAAAGCCGAGCAGACTGAGCCCATCGGAACCCCACCAACTGAGCGCCTTGCCTGCAATTTTTTTGCCTTCACTTCTGGTTCCCTGACACAGGATTGTGGAAGAGAGAGTGTGTGGCACTAGTGTCCTCCAAGCCCCTTTCTGCGGAGCCTCATGGTCAGGCTCACCTTGCCGTCTGTGCGAATGTCCTTTACTCTCACGTCGACCTCCTGATCCACTTGAAGCACGGCGGATACGCTCTCCTTAGAGCGCAAAACTACCACTCCCCCAAACCGAAGACGCCACACATGGTCAGCTACATAGTGGAGGGAATTGTGTGTTTCTTGCATTTTGAACGATCGCATCCGATCAAGAGCATGAATACTCTGGAATCATGGCAAGCCCAAGCGTGGCAGAAAACAGAAAAAGCTTTCCGGAGCATTGCGGATTCAAATGCTCGTTCGAGTTGGAGGGCCCCCCCCCCCTAAATCAACTAAGGCAGCCCTTTATGGGGCGGTGCAGGAGGGGAGCCAAAAGATTGGTGGTAGAATCAATTTTTTTTTTTGGGGGGGGGGGGGGGGGGCGCCCCCTCCGACCCCGCAGCCAATTAACTCATTTTCATACCAGTTAAGGGTCGGGTCGCTTGCTGACCCACCTGAACACTAGAGAGAAGGGTTGTAAACGACAAGTATCGCAAGCTCCAAGGAGCTACTAGCTTTCGTGACTTTTAAAGAGGAAGGAGAGAGCTGACTGAGCTGAAGCTAACAACGCACAGTCGATTGTTGCCAAGAAGTCGCCACGTATCCGTCCTCAGTCCATAGGTGAGCATGGTGAGCTGCCAGAACGCGACGCAATGAGCGGCAGGTTTTCTCAGAGCGGTGTCCAACGCGCTGGTGCCAAGCTGCCCCAATCTCGGAGATGTGCACCAGACCCCGGAGAACCTCAAGAACACCCGCCGTCTTCGCTGGAAAAGCAGAAGCAAAGGCGGGAGAAAGCAATGCACAGGCAACAAGCAGCGCCTCGCTCTGGTCAGGCACCTCGGCCTCCACGAAGGCCCCAAAATCGACCACTTCCTCGGGAAGACGACCACGAGCTGGCCACGGTAAAAGACAACAAAACTTTCTTGAAATGCACAGAGGAAGAGGAAACACACGGAGTAGCAGCTTTGACAAGAGGCCTTCACCACACCTTTGAGCCAGACATCAGAAGAGATGTTTGTTGCCTCGGGTCAAAGTGTTTTCCGTCAACTCCCATTCTGCAGACTTGGTTCTCGATTCTTTGTGAAACATGTGAAACATATGACGAAAGGTGCCTTGGATGTTCGAGATGGCGTGGACATGCTTCAGTACGCCATGGAGCCGTGAAGGGCAGCATCGACAGCATCAAGCGTCCACGGCTTGCGGACAAAACCCGTACATGGACGTCCTGCCCCACCTCCAACACCTCCTGAACAATTGCCCGGATCACTGAGCAAGTGCTCAAACAAAGCCCGGGTGTGTCTCCTCCGGCCCTCGCCCATCCAATTCCATGTCCTGAGAACCGAGGTGGTGTATTCAACGAAATTCAACGAGTTCACCAATCGGCTTTTTCGGACCGGCCAAACAAATAACCGCTTTAGCCATCACCGGTTGCACAGAAACAAGCATGATTCACACTTAGTGTGGCATTGTAAAAGTTGAAGCTCTTGGCTTCTGCTCCATTAGGTTTTTCAGGCCTTCAGCCGTCTACGAGCCGGCAGATAGCCGTGCGGCAGGCATCAGGTACAATACTTAAACTCAAACTTTGGCTTAAAAACCGCTAGATTTGCAAATCCTCGATGCCCGGCACTTGCATCTCACAATACTTGCCCAAAAACTTGCTTGGAGAAACCTGCCAGCCTATATTGCGACACTACCACATGCTTGCTTGGTGGGGCGTTTGCGACTTCGCGAGGCAAGAAGTTTGAAGAGAGGTTTAGCGGCTTAGCGGACATGCAGACAGGACTTCCACCAGGTTGCCAAGCTTCTGCTTTCGTCACGAATCCCCGGCATGCAATTCCACCATGCGGCGGCTGCACCACGACATAGGCTCCGTGACGTGAAACCGTCTGCACAACTCCTCCGAGGCCACATAACGGACGCACCGGGTGATAGCTTCGCAGCATTGTTCGAACACGGACAAGATGGCGCCACGCGTGTGGTGTGGAGCTAGTACCTATCGATGACTTCGGAAGATTTAACGGTTTTCTCATGTTGTCTGCTGACTCTGGGCAATGGGGTCAGCAGCGTGCTCCTCACTAACCACATCACTTTGGATGCCTGTGGGATTGTGTACGACTTCGTGCTTGCTTTGCAGCTTTCACTTTCACCGATGTTCACGCTTGAGATTGGAACATATCGATCCTGTGGGTCCCCTCGGCGTGCGTTGTCACATCAAGATGTTGTCGTGATCAATTGTGGCAACAGAAGGTGCAAAGGTGTTGATCCACAGCTTTCTCAAGCTGCGCTTTCCCAATACTCTGGCAGCTGTGAATAAGCAGTACTTCTTGTCCTACTACTGTAATGCCGAAAGCAAGCGAATCAAAGCAGGGCACATAGAAACAAATCCGCCGAGATCTCGGGCCACAAGAGTTCTGACATCAAGTAAATCGCCAACGTCAATGTAAATGGAGGTCACCTAGTTGTGCGACCGGCTGCAACACTCCTGAGAGAAAGTGGTCTTGTCTGGCAACCGGCTGGAAGGGCTCCAGGTCAACTTCAATCTCGATGGGCTTGGCAGATAGGACGAGCTTTCCTGGCTGCTGGATGGAGACCACGCGCACCAAAAGGCTTTCCCCAACCTCGAAGGCAATGAAAGCAAAGTCAGACAGTGATTTATCCAGAAGCGTTTGCCCTCGAAACATGCATTACAGGATGAAAGTGGCGAAACCATGAGACCGCGTTTTATCCTGGCAGATAAGGACGCTGAACCTTATCAAAAGCTTCTGCTAAAACCTTCAGAATCTGCAGCATGGTCACACTGACAAAGTCGGTGGGGTCTTCCTAAGGGCTCGCAAAACACGCGAAAACATCGGCCCAATGTGGACATGAGGTATTGCGTGTCCTTGTAATGGGCACTACACGGCTATGCATAGTGCTGTCTACAACAAGCAAGCAAAACGGATTCTGAAACGACGGCCGAGGATCAACGAAAAAGTCTGCCATCTCAGAAGCAGGCAGCAAGCCAATCTTCTTTTCTTCTGTACGTGGGCAGTGTACAGCGAGAAAGGCACCTCGTTACGTATAAGTATATGCTCGACGCACAAGTCTACTGGAAGATCTGTGAAAATCTTCTGCTGCTATGTCAGCTAAGCCGGAAAGATGTTGCTTTGTGGTCTTCATGAATGAAGGCATTCACTTCAGGGGGGCCGTCTAAGCTGTTGTCCCGGGCATGTTGATACATTGATACACATTGTCACATTGTCTCAAACTTGTCAGCGTGCTGGGACATGTTGCAGGACAGCATGGTCTTGTTGCGCCTGACTCTTTACACCTGCCAACCATCAAAACCCCGTGTGCACAGGATGACTGAGGCATCGTCCAAACCTTGCCACCGCCTCCTTGGCAGAAAGGCTGCACAAAACTACGCTTTAAAGACCAAACCGGATGCTCTTACCGCTGCAAGCGTCCACAGTGGCGTCAATCCAGGTCTCGTTGCTGAGGCCTGCACGACGTGCATGCGCAATGTTTCTGCTCTTCGCAGCAACAACCCGTGTGCCGACAACTACTTGCAAACAAGATGCTTTCAAAGTAGCTGATGTCTTCTGTGGCATTGAGCACCAGAGACAGCCGATCATCTGCAAAACAAGTGCCGAGCAATTTGCATACTGTCAGCTGCATAAACATCAAGAAATATTCCGCCATCTCTGGTTAAGCCGCGCACTATCCGTAGAAAGAACAGCGACATGCACTTCTTGCCCCAACGAAACAACATCCTGCGCCGCGCGAATGCCTATGTGAATACAGCCGCACATTTGGCACACCCGGCGACTCCCGATGTCCTCCACGCGCACAACGAAGCCTGAAAACAAGTCGAGTCAGGCATGAAAATTCTCAGAGCGGGTACTAAAGCAAGCAGCAAAGCTGGACCCGGCTGTACTTTGTTCCGATGCCTTCTTGCTTGTGGCATGTTTCACTATGGCACTTTCGCCATTTGCATGGTCTAAGTCTAAGACTGCCCTCCGGTCCTTCCCTTAAGCTAGCATGCCGCATCTTTCGCCACAGACTAAGAGTTGTAGAAAATGAGAAGAACGTGAGGTTTCTGCAACCAGGGTTTCCGGCAACACTTTGGTCCTCCGAAGGGTTGAGGCTCTAGGTTTGTAGGGTTCAAGACAAAGATCTTAGCACCAAGGGCTACATAAGGGTTTGCAAGCGCACTTGCTAGAATCTCGGTGGGCCCTTGGAGTTTAGGGTTTAGGAAACAGCGCCAGCATCTACAGTGCACGAGGTGCGGCTCCGTTGAACCCAAAAACAATCCAGAACCCTGGAACAAAAAAACGCCGGTGCAAGAAGGGTCGAAAACATTAACAGACATATGCCAAAGATGGCACTGTGTAAAAAAGAGAGACAAAGGAGCTGGAAGGCGAGATGTGAAAAGCTGCCAAAGGAACTGACGAAATCGCCGAACGTGCTGTAAATACCGATGTTTTGTGCTTGCACGGAATCAAAGCGTTGGAAACCCCCACCCCACCCACCCACCTACCTACCCACCTACCCACCTACCCACCTACCCACCTACCCACCTAACCACCTACCCACCTACCCACCTACCCACCTACCCACCCACCCACCCACCGCACACACTCGACACAACACCACACAACACAACGCAACGCAACACAACACAACGCAACGCAACACACCACACCACACCACACCACACCACACCGCACAACACCACACCACACCACACCACACCACACCACACCACACCACACCACAACACACCACAGCACAGCACAGCACCGCACGGCACGGCACAGCACAGCACAGCACGGCACACGACACGACACGAAACGACCTGTACGACACGACACGACACGACACGACACCCACACACGCAACACGCAACACGCAACACGCAACCCGCACCACGCACCACGCGCAGACGCGCACACAAGCGCACGCGCGCGCACGCGCGCGCACGCGCGCGCACGCGCACACACGCACAGGCGCACTCGCACACACGCGCGTGCACGCGCACGCGCGCCCACGCGCGCACGCGCCATCCCCCGCAGCAGATGAAGCTACACGCTTTGCTCCAAGGCACGGCCCATGTTGGACTTGTGAATAAGCCTGGATTGCAAAGGACAGCTCAAAGGACGATCACCCGCTTGCACACTCGGAACAAGACTGGCGCTGTTGCTCTCGTTGCACCCCACGGCAACGCATGTCCCTCATGACGACACTAGAGCAGCACAGTGCGTCAGACATGTGCCAACCCGAAGGTGCCTTGAACTTAGCTTTAGCACATTCTAACAGATTCTAGCACTAGACGACTTTGCCGCTCACAAGTGGTTCACAGCGAACACAGAAGAGCAAAAGGGGTCTATCATTCTCCTTGAAAAGCAACCGCGAAGTCTTTTCCTTGAAGTTCTGAAGGGTGCTCAAAAAACTAGAAGACGATTGGCCCGAAAGCATCGATTTGCCGTGCGTTGACGCTATGCACTTGACTCTCTGCGCTCGAACTGTATGCACTTGGACAAGTGTATGCACTTATATGGTTGCATACTCACGTGTATACTGCACTTGTATACTGGACGTGTATGCACTTGAACTGCACGGCATTCAAGTGTGTTGAGTTGAATGCCATGCACTTGCGGTCAACTCAAAACACTTCATTGGCATTCAATACATCTGAAGTAAACAGACTTGAACTGTATGAACTTCACTTGCATGCACCTGACTCGGCTGCGCACGTCCAATCCACACGAAGCTATGAAAGAAAAGACAAAAACATCTAATGCGAGAGCCGTCAGCCATGAGCATCATCGGCAGTCGCTCTGAAGTCCAAGCTCATAGTCCAGAGCGCCTGTCAGGAAGCAAGAACTCAGCATGCACGCATGTAGAGCATCCGGTTTAATGTGTGACGGCACATACGCTTTCGTGCTGCAGGAAGGAGTCTAAGCAGTGATGTCTCTTCTATTTGTCGTGGGCTGGCGTACTCCTGTCTCTGGAAACTGGAAGGTTTTCGAGGCCCCGGAATTCGAGTCCCAAGATAATTGCGAGGTTTTCGACACCCCAGACGAATTCGATCCCACGATACTTGCGAGGTTTCGAGGAATTCGAGTCCCACGATAATTGCGATGGTTTCGACATCCCGGAATTCCCACGATATTTGCGAGGTTTTCGAGGCCCCGGAATTCGAGTCCCGCGATGTCCCACGATATTTGCGAGGTTTTCGAGGAATTCGAGTCCCACGATATTTGCGATGGTTTCGACATCCCGGAATTCGAGTCCCACGATATTTGCGAGGTTCTCGAGGCCCCGGAATTCGAGTCCCAAGATATTTGCGAGGGTTTCGACATCCCGGAATTCGAGTCCCACGATATTTGCGTAGTTTTCGACGGCTGTCCAGAAGCGCGCACCGGCCCTATTCAGTACTACTTTTGTACTACAGAGATGGATTTGAAGAGGGGGGCTGTCCTAAAAGCCCGCGCCGGCCCTATTCAGTACTACTTTTGTACTACAGAGGAGGATTTTGAGAGCGCACCGGCCCTGTACAGTACTACTTTTGTACTACAGAGGAGGATTTTCAGAGCCCAAAAGAGTGCCAAAAGAGCGCACCGCCCTGGACAGTACTACTTTTGTACTACAAAGGACGTTTTCGGTCACAAGAAAACGCAAAAACATGACGGTTTTGGCACCGCGACCACGCCGAAACCCGCAGAGGGGAAACGCAAAAACACGACGGTTTTGGCACCGCGACCACGCCCAAACCCGCAGAGGGTCGACCCGCACCCGCAAAAATGTGCAACAAACGACGGTTTTAGCACGGCGACCACGCCGAAACCCTCAGAGCGTTGTCCGCGCACAGCAAGAAACGCGACCACGCCGAAACCCGCAGAGGGTTGTCCGCGCACAGCAAGAAACGTAAAAAAAACGAGGGGTTTAGCACCGCGACCACGCCGAAACCCGCAGAGGGTTGCAACCCCGATTGACGACGTCAACCCAGCCCGCCGCCTTCAAAAGAGTAATTTTAATTAAGAAATGTAGGACTGGGTACGAAGGTCTACTAAATTCTACTGAAATCTCGTAAATTCTATTAAATTGTACCAAATACTAAAATCTCGTGAATTCTACTCTATGCACTTCACTCTCGCACTAAAATGCACCTCACTCTATGCACTTCACTCTATGCACTTCACTTTAGGCACTTAACTCTGTGCAAGTCACTCTATGCATTTTAACTCTATGCACTTGACTCTATGCACTTCACTCTATGTACTTAACTCTATGCACTTAACTCTGTGCACTTGACTCTATGCACTTCACTCTGTGTACTTAACTCTATGCACTTCACTCTATGCACTTCACTCTATGTTGTTGGGTCAGAGGGCTCCCCACGGAAGAACTCTTCGCGATGCTTTCGGGAAAAAGATGCAGCGGATTGTCCCAGGTGGCAGTCTTACAGCTGATATGATGCAGCCAAGAACCCCCTGTAGGGCACGCCACCTTGTGGAGGCTGCACATCTGCAAAAGCACCAAAAACATCGATCCTTGTGCCAGAGCTGGGTGGCAAAGAGCTCACAATGACGACACGATGACGAAACAGCTCACGAGTCTTGACAAGATTCTCCTTGATTGTGGCCTTGAGGAGCGTTCCGCTGGGAAGATTTTGGAAAGCCTCGTAGAATAGCATTGCACAACAAAGCACTGAGATTCTGATTTGCCTTTGCAGGTCGAAGGCTGGTGCTGTGACACGACACCTTCCCAAGAGCACTTCAAGCAGCTATTAACATTCTTTGCTGCTACTGCCGCCTGACTTTAAGCATACAGTTCATCCAGTCACAGAGTCCAAAATCACATCAAGATGCCGCCAAATCCCCAGATCCTCAGATGCGATCTATTGAACAAGGAAGCTGCTGGCAGCTGCCTCTCTGCCTCTAGCCTGTCCGACTCACCAGAGCTACAGCCTTGGAAGCATCGACACAGCAGAACACCGGCGTCACCCGTGTGTCCAGACCCGGCGCCGAGATTCGCATGGGCTTCATGGACAAGTTGAGCTTGCCAGCGTTTGACAGTACACGAACTTGTACATCCTGGCCAATTTGCACCTCGTCAGCCACTCTGTTCACCCCATCCTGCGAAAGCGGACATGCATTAAGGCAAATAATGACAGACCCTGAATGACACCAGCTCTTCATTCAGCAAAGCGGTCCCTCATGTCTGAACGGTGCACGAAACCTTCTTCTTCAGCGCCGATGTCCACATAAAAACCCAGAGAAGAAATGTCAGTCACCCGTCCCTGCAACATTTCACCTTCTTCGAGTTCCGCAATGGAATGCCGGATCTTCGGTACCCTCCAGCAAGTCAGTGGATAATGGTACTCGTAGCCCTCTCTGTCGAAGCGCACCATAAACGTGCCGTCTGCAAACTCATGTTCCACGACAGCTTGGTACCAATCTCCATCATCTTCACAGCGGACCTCCACTATGTCACCTCAACAGGTGCAACACCTACACTGGAAGCTCACTCAGATTCTCTCCATTCTCCTCCCAATGTACGGCCAAATGCAGCTTAGGAACCAAGTTGGTGCTGTCGCCTCAGTAGCACATGGCGCAAACAGACGCAAACTGTCCACCAGGTCTACCTGGTCCACGGTTCCGCCTGTCCCATAACTATTTCGAATGAGTCATAAGTCAACTAGCTGCTAGACCTCACCATTGCCGCACAAGTGTTGCATCTAGGACCTGGAGTTCCCATCAAACATTGCTCCGCACATTGCCCCACAAGATTGCCCCGCAAACGAAGCTCCGACTGCGACCGATAGGCGCCCAGGTGGGCGAGACTTCATTTTCAGCTCCTGCCCGCAACCCTGTAAGCGGCAAGGGATGCCCTGAGCTGCTCGCAATGACGGCCAGATTTTGAAAATTTTGCTGAACCTACAAAACCATGGAATCGAAAAGACCATGTCCACAAAAGGGGCCTCTTTCAGTTGAAGCGCTTGTATGGCTCGTCTTGACAAAGCGAAAACATCGAAAGCATCGCGGAGCGCTGAGAGCTGTCAGGGCTACCAAGAGCTTTGCCAGGAGCTGAAGCCGCTTGGACCGCTTGGAACGCACAAGCATCCACTGCATCAGGCACTCGACATGGGCACTACATTTGAATTACCTTTGACTTCTTGCCACGGCCCCTCCTCGCACAATAACGATGCCGGCTGAAACACAACAAGCCAGTTGCAAGGTCAGTCCACCAGCTATGTCACTTCTCTCTTTTTGACCAAACTGTGAGCCTAAGAAGCACTCAGTTACCGCCATAAGTGGGAGTAAGTTCACTTCATGTCATTCAATTTGCTAACTTTGAGCCTCGCCATGCGGACAGCAAAGACATGGCTTTGACACCACTAGTCAGTACCGCGTACAGCGACTGCACATGGGCTTGTGTTCCAAAACTTGGCCTGTGTGCCTGCTGCGACGTGCCACTCGGCACCCACAATACCACCATGGCGCAAGGGCCGATGCTCTTGCTGTAGCATGCTGTGTCTGTCTTGTGTCTCCGAGCCAGCATCCTCTACAGGGAAACTCGGGTCATCGATGAGCCTTCGTTTCATGGCTATGACGTAGCACAGCCAAGCTCTTGTGGTCTGGGCTTCCTGACTCCGGAACTCAAATCACAGTCGGCGTCATCAAAGGAACAAGATATTCTCAAACCCGCATGTGGGCTGCACCTTTGAGCATGAATACATTGCCCTTAGCCATGTTGGGGCGTGCGCACTTCACAGGGTCGAGGCAATGCCGCAGGCGCCCAATGCGCTCGCAGCTTCCGCCGAAGACTTTGTCCTGATGGCGATCTCTGCGGTCTCTAGTCCCACTATACGGTTGACGAGATAAGCTCGTGCAGAGCTGTCGCTATCTCAGGTACAGTACGGTGCCAGACGGTCCAGATAGTCTTTCTCGCCAGCAACCTCCGAGCAGCAGAAGTAAGTTCTGATTGTGCTTCACGACGGATGTCGCTGACATAGCCACTGGTGTCTCAGTTCTGAGGCTGCAACCGCCCGTAGCAGTAAATCACGGCTAGCTTCAGCAGTACTCAGCAGATCACGCTCGGCCCTCAGCATTGGAAGTTCTCTTTTAGAGAACTGCACGACTGCGAATAGTCACGACACTACGACGTGCCCGGCCTTGCACGGGGGTGGAAGCGCGCACGCACAAGTCTCAAGCAGTCTTGGACTCGAGCGCTACACCCTTGACTGCGGAGTTCACTGTCGCGATTTGGCCTCGGATTCAAACAGTGGGAACTTGCACGGAGATACTTGTGCACAATGAGGAAGAAGCCCGACCCAAAACGAGGCTCATGCGCTCTACATTCCGCTCCAGTTTAACGATGACATCATCAACCTCGTCAAGTTTACATGCAAGCCGTACTGAGTCTAGGCCAGCAAGAACTGTTGATGTGAGAAAGCTGGCCCAGGAGGGAGAAAGAAAAAGGAGAAGCATGTCGTCAAAATCCCCAATTCAAACACCAGCGCCATGGCTCAAACGACATTTGCGTTGTCTCCTGTCAAACGCATGCAAAATTAGACCAAACATATCATCATCTTTTCAGCATTCTTCGGCGGCTGAGGTTTTGCAACGCATATCAGCTTTAGGATTGCCTGCTGGAAGTCGTTCGTGCAAGCAAGCCAGATCAAAAGGCTCTGACAATGGATGTTTCATTGATTGCACTAAGCAGAATTCAAACTGGAATTCAAGCTGGTGTTGGAAGGGCTTGATGCTTGGCAGCAAGTTTATGTTGGGGCTTCAGCTGTTTAATCGACATTCAGATGTGCGCTGCGTTGCTGCATGTTGCCGCTCAGCGTGGGCTTGCATGACTTCTACAAGGTTTGTGGGGTTCAGAATGGTTCAGAACTGCTTTCTTGCATATTCTTAGCAATTTCTTAGCATATTCAGCATGCCCGTGCACGGGCTTCCATTTCGGCGACACTGTCGGTCTAAATCAGGTATGGTGCTAGCTAACTTAGACCAAAGACCCCACGGGACCGAACAAAGCCCTTAAACCAGAAAATGTCGCCGAAGCCAAACAAAAGCCTGCTAAGAAGGCTGTTCTTAATCCGGACAACTTCTGATTTGCGGAACGGCGTCTTCGAGCGTGCGGTCTCACAACTCGGACAGACCAGGCAAGGCACAGTTCAGGACTGAAGCAGATTAAGCCGTCGATCGACAACCTTTAAAGTGTTCCAATCATGGTTAGGGCTCAACAAATTTCAGATTCGAAACACGTGTCCAGAAGAAGATCTGGTGAATGTGCGTGGTCTTACAGCTCGAGGCAAAGAGGTCTGTTGTCCTTTTTGTACGTTTGGTTGACGGCAGTCAATTAAAATTTTGGTTCGGTTTTCGCGGCCTAGAAGGAGCACAACTGCTTCTTAGGTCTTGGAAGTCATTGGAGCGGGGCTTCGAGCGCGTGATATCCCGTAAGTTCTGGACCGCAAGTATGTTCCCGATTCGATGGACAATCGACAACACCACAGATGAAATTGAAGGCAGAATCATCATAAATGCACTTCTGTTCCTGAAAGGGTCTAGGGCCGTGGGGTCACTGAGCTACGACCTGAATATAATTCTCCTGCAAGGGGCGCAGGATGTTTTTATCCGAGGTGTGCGAAAATGCGCGCGAAGCATAGGCAGAGCATAGGGCTCTTCAAGGTCGGGAGCAGGGCAGCAATAGCAGCATGGATGTTTGCGTGTTTTTGCCAGTCGTTGAGCCTTGAGCCTTAACGCCCTGCAAACTGCCGGCGCTTATGTCTTTCCATGGCGTGGATGAATGAAGTATTGAAGATATCTTGGGGACCAGTGTCTTCGATTCTGGCAGAGAATCCACAAGCAACAAAGTGATCGAGGACAATGCTCGTAGTGCTTGTTTGGGATGGGAATTGTGCGTTCCTCTTGATTTCGGCAGCAGGTACCACATGATGGCACCCATGCACAATGGAAACCTTGTTTCAACGGTATATGCCTATTTGTACATGCTTGGTATGAGCTTCTCCAGACCATGGCAGAAGGCTATGCCTTAGTCATAGTCGATGAATAGCTTGCAATATGTTCAAACAGTCTCTAGTAGCAACCGCTGCATGCAGTCAATGGCTGGATTTCTCGAAGGACCTTTGGGATGAAGTCGTCTTCATCCAAACGAATCAAAACATTTCAAACTTTGAAAGAACGCCGAAGTGCCTGACATCCTCCCGAAAGGCAGTGGAAAAAGCCCATTTTGCAGCACTTCTCAGTTTCAGTACACGGGAAAGAGATGAACGAGCGCACCGTGATGCAGAATAACTGCCTTGCTGCTTGCTGCAATGCCTGACAGAGCTCCGCAAGGCCTCCTCGGCGGTGTAAGACATTGCCAATGGCGCTTACAGACATTGCCAACCCATGGGCTGCTGCAGGTTCGGCGAACCGTGTAGTGAAGTGCAAGCATTTGCGGCCTTATGCTGTTGTTGGATGCTACCAGATGCTGCCGTATTGTACTTCTTGAAATGTAAAATACTTGGTGCGCTGAGCAGGTGTGCACCATCCAGATAAAAGTCACTTCATGCGATGACGGCCCCTGTACCTAGCCTGCAAGAGAGAGCCATGTGTACAATACACACAGATTTGAGCAGAAAATCTCCAGCTGCGTGGCCAAGGATGTATGAATAGCTTGCAGATCAGCTCTGTGTCGTTGAACCTTTCTGTAAGCAACCTGCTTTTTGTAGCTTCTGTTGGCTTGGTGCACTGAAGCAATGCTAACTTCGTTAACTTCCAGCGGTGTCATAGACAGGGACTGGACGACCCAGGTTCTGAGGGACTGGTGAAACCTGTTGAGAAACAAAGCTACGAACGCGCAACGGCAACGCGACGGATTCCGCGGTAATACCTGAAACACACATTCAATCGAACAGCACGTCAAGAAACATGTTGCAAAATCGAGGCCCGTGCTCCTTGAAGGGGCACGTCGTCGGGCTGGTAAGACTGAAGTACCTTCACAAATCGGCAACCTAACATTTCTTCCAACCGTCCACTAGGGTCGCAGCCTGTAGAAGAACAGCAGGAACTCTTCAAAGGAGATGGCACTGCTCCTGTCCCTGTCAGCCTCCGCCCAAAACCTGAGAGGTCAGACCCGCTCGGAACTGGAATTTCTTTGCACTCTTCCACATCGGGGCGCGTGCTGCTTGACTCGACCCGGAGGGAATTCGCAGTTCGGTGGCACCTGGTAAACAGTCGTGAGGAAGTGAGAAGCTCAGCTTAGGTCGATTTAGCAGCTTTAGCCTTAGCAGTTAACACCCGGCCCGGGCCTTGACCAGCTGGCTCAGCAGGTTCTCAAACTCTGGGTACTCAATGTAGCCACTTCCGTCCTGGTTATGAAACGATGTCTTGCGTGATATCGTAGTACGTCTTCTTTGAATGGCCAACACTCCTCATCAAAGAGGTCGAACTTCTTCTTGTACTGCTCAACCTGCCACATACATCTTACTGCCCTGAGAATTCCCTAAGCTCGATCTGCCCTCGGCCGTCCTCGATGACGGGCATGTCGTACTTCCTGGCCTGGTTGCCAAGGCATACAGTCTGTTGTTAAGTGCCTT